AATAAAGATTAATAATAAGGTAGGTTAGTAATGATAAAAATTAGTAATATAGATGTAGTAAGTTACTACTTCTACTATATATTTTTGAAAACCTATCAAATGTGCATTTTCAGCGCAACAAAAAAACCCTAAAAACTGGCTGTTATGCACTCTTTACAATAGCTTGAATCTGGAAAAAACCTGAGTACCCAAGAACAGATGATTGGTTAAAGAAACTTTGATACATCTACACAATGGAGTACTATGCAGCTGTTAGAAAAGATGAAGTCATGAAATTCATATACAAATGGTACTACATGGAAAGTATCATGCTAAGCAAAATGAGTCAAAAAGAAAGGGACAGACATAGAAAGATTGCATTCATCTGGGGAACATAAAGTAACAAAATAGGAGACTAACACCCAAGAATAGCCAAGATAAGTACCAGGAGGATTACTCTATGGCTTTGAGAACAGCCGCACACACTAGGGGAAAAGGCAGCTTAGATAGAGAAGGGAGCACCAAATAAAGGGTGTTGGGAGGTTCCTCTCAGGATGGGAAATGCGTGATGAGAGTAGACTATAGACTGAACAAGATTGCCTCTCAATGTCTCTTTTGCAAATCACAGCACTCAAAGGAGAGAGATAACAAAAGGGAATGCCCTGCCATAGAAGTAGGGTGGGATGAGGGGATGGGGGTGGGAGGGATATTGGAACTGGTGGTGGTGGAGAATGGGCACTGGTGTAGGGATGGGTATTTGATCATTGTATAACTGAAACCCAAGCACAAAAATTTGTAAGTCTACAACTGTACCTCATGGTGTTTTACTAATAAAAATTTAAGAAAAAAAACTGGCAGTTATAATTTGTTTTCATTATTAAAAAGACTAGTGCCAAAGAATATTTTGTGAAAAGTAGTTCAGAGCATATGCTCTGCAATTGAGGCTTTAATGTGACTCTATAAATTACTGGCTGTGAGCCCTGAACACATACCTCACTTCTTTTTAAAGTCCTATCCAAAGTGGTTTCACTTGTAATAACTGTACGTTGTATTTTGCACTAAGAATATTAAATGAATTTAATATAAATAAAGCACTTAATTGGCAGGGTGGCACGGCAGCACGGTCCTGCCGTTGTTCATCGATTTGTTCGAGTGGGCCCAGTAACATCTCCATGAGCAAGTCCGTAAGACTTGCTGTTACTGTGTTTGGCATATTGAATACATAATGGGTAGCTTCCCAGGCTTTGCTGTGCGGGTGAGATACTCTAGGTAGCTTGCCGGACTCTCCAAGAGGGGCAAAGGAATCGAACCCGGCTCAGCTGGATTGGCTGCATGCAAGACAAACGCCTTACCGCTGTGCTATTGCTCCAGCCGTAACTGTCACATAAGTACTAAAAATTTGTTGGCATACATTATTCAAGTCTGACGTCTTATTTAGCCTTTTCATGCTTTTTTTTAAAAAAATCATATTTTAAAATCAGCTTAATATCAAAGCAAGGACTGAAAAGACAGTACAATGGGTAAGGCACTTGCTTTGCATGCAGACAACCCTGGTTTGCTCGCTGGCATTATATATGGTCCCCTGAGCACAGCCAGTTATATCCCCCAACCGCCCTAAAAAAGAGACTCAAAGCAAACTGACGGAAAGCTACAAAGATTTCCTATATGTCCCTGCTTCTTACAAACACAACCGCCTTCTTATCAGCATTCCCCATCAGGGTTCTACATTTGTACAAATGATGAACCAGTATTGACAAATCAATTGCACCCAAAGTCCATAGTTAGCATTAGGGTCCACTTTGTGTTCTACATGCCATGATTTGATAAATGTATATGTATCTTCTATTATTATCACACAGAAATTCTACCTATTTCTCCCAGTGCCCTAAAGCTCTGACCAAAAAAAAAAAAAATTTTTTGGCTCAAATTTTTCCCATCCCAGAATGTCACAGTAGGAAATATACAATATGTAGTCTTTGCATATTTTCTTTCACTCAGTGATATATGCATTTAAGGATGCTTTATGTTTTTTCATGTCTAGATAGGTTGTTTCTTTTTAGTGTGGGACAAACTCCATTGTACAGCTCTAACAATGTTTATCACTAAAGACACCCACTTTTTGTCAATTACCAACAAGATGATTACCAATTATCTCCATTCACATCTTTGTGTGGTCACAGGCTTTCATTTCATTTAGGTTAACAGCCAGAAACAATTGCTAGGTCACATACTAAGACTATGTTAAGATGCCTTAAGGAATGTTTTGTACATCTCCCCAGTTTTAAAAACATAGTTGCGATAGCACAGTGGTAGGGCATTTGCCTTGCTTGCGGCCAGCCTGCCCCACTCGGGTTCAATTCCTCCGTCCCTCTTGGAAAGCCTAGCAAGCTACTAAGGAGTATCTCGCCTGCACGGCAAAGCTTGGCAAGCTACCCGTGACATATTCAATATGCCAAACACAGTGACAAGTCTCACAATGGAGACGTTACTGGGCCCACTCGAGTAAACTGAACAATGGGAGGACAGTGACATTTGTTTTGCTGCTGAATTTTACAAGTTCTTTATGTATCTTGGGTATGAACTTTTATTTATTTTGGTTTGGGGGCCATCCCCAATGGTGCTCAGGGCTTACTCATGGCTATGCTCGAGGGACGTTATGGTGTTCCAGGATTGAACCAGGGCTGGTAAAATGCAAGGCATGTATCCTACCTGCCGGACTATCACTCCAGTCCCTTAACGAGGCAAATATTTCCTCCCAGTCTGTGGGGTGTCCTTTTACCTTAGCCATCATTTCCTTTTAAGGAGTAGGGGCTTCTTAATTTGATATCCCATTTACTTATTTTTACTTCTGTTTGCTTGGTCAATAACACTGAGTCATTGAAAATGCCTTTAGATTGTACCATGAAAGGCTCTAACCTATGTTTTCCTCAGTATAATTTATGGATTCAGGTTTGATATTGAGGCCTTTAGTTTACGTCAAATTTGGAGTAAAGAGGCCATTCTGCTGGTGGGTTTGGAGTTGGAAAGTTGTAGGCATGAAATTCTTAACATTGTAAATCACAGTGCCTCAATAAAAATAGAAGGGAAAAAAAACATGTTAAAAATACTCTTAAAGAGAGTCATGCAATTTGCTACAACACAGATGGATCTGTGAAATCAGTCAGAGGGAGAGGAACAGACAGAATGATCTCTGTCTTATATGGAATATAAAGAAACCTCATAGGGAATATCAAATGTCCAATGGCAACAGAAATGAAGAGTAGAACTGGTCATCAGTAGGAAGCTTGACACTGTGGCTGGGGTGAGGGTAAGAAGTTAGGGAAGGGAACACGATGACAATGGGGGAGAAGAAAAAGTGAATGCCACTGGGGGTGGAGTGGGAGGTAAACTGAGGATGTTGGTGGAGGATAATGGGCACTGGTTAAGGGATTGGTGTTGGAACAATATACTCCTGAAACTCAATCATAAATACTTTCTAATTGTGTAAATAAATATATTTGTAAAATGATCCAATAAAAAATGAAAATATTTTTAAATGTTGCCATTTCTTCCACAGTCTGTACCATTTTCCATTCCCACCAGCAATGTGAGTTTCCGATGTCCCACATTCTCACCAGTATTTGGTGGTGTCTGTGTTTTGCATTTTAACCAGTCAACGGCATGTAATCGTAGATTATGGTAGTTCCATGATGTTTTTGTTCGAGAAAAAGTTTTTGTGAAAAAATGCCCCCTAAGAATAGTACACTATTTGTGATTGGCTTAATCTAAGCAAATTTCTTTCCAAACCCGTTACAATCTGCAGTCTGCTCCCCCTTCCTGCACTATTTCACTGATGAATTAATATCTTTTTGGTGTTTCAAATAAACTTGGAAGTCTGTTTCAAATAAACTTGGAAGTCAACAGTCTAGGAACAAGGGGTCTGCAAAGAATAACTATAACTGTTGGTATAACAAAGCAACAAATGTTTACCTCATTCATAACTTAAAAACACTAGACAACGTTCACTTAGTTTTCACTGTTCAGAAAGTGAATCCAGGGTCTCACAAATGCAAAGCAGGTATTCTAATCCTTAAGGTCCCATATCCTTCATAGTCCCATTAGACCTTTTCAACTTTTCATATTCCCCTTGTGACACTAGTGTTTCACAGACCGTTAATCAAATCCAACTTTTAAACTTGTGACATTTCAGTAATGAAAAACAGTACAATGCCAGAGAGTAATTTCTGCGGCACATTCCACCAAGGTTCAATTCCTGGCACTGCAAAGGGTCCTCCCAGTAACCCTTGAGCATAGAGCCAAAAATAAGCCCTGAGCAGTGCAGGACATGACCAAAAATAAAAGTACAAGTCAATCAGTCTGGAAAAAATAAGGGATGAAAATACTATATGGAGTTGTAAAGAGTTCAGACCATTCAACCTTTCAATTTTCCAAATCGTGTAAGTTTTCAAATACAAAAGCCATACAAAATCCCTTTGGCCAAGTTTTTAGCAAAGATTCTGAAACGCGGGGCCAGGGAAGGGCTGGAGTACCTTAATCTCTAACGGCACCCAGGAAGGGCTGCGGCACGGGACTAAGCATCTTCCTAGCTTCTCCCATGGAGCAAGAATCACATCGCACACCCGATTTAAGCAAATATGGCAAAGGCGACTGAATGTGTAAAGCCAGAAACACGACTCCCGTGTTTCTTTGCCCTCACAAGCCGCTTTTCCAGCGGTTCCCTTGCTTCGGAACCCCGCGGATAAATATGACCACTGATTCTGCTTGTGAATCGCACATCTACACTCGGCGCCAAAGGATTACGAGCCTCTTTCTAGCAGCAGCTGGAGGGGAGCGCGGGGGGCTTCCTTGTAGGGGGTAAACAGATCGGCCGCAGACCGCTACCGCACCGACCTAGTTGCAAATTGCAGCAACGCCGGGACATTTTTTCGCGCTCCGAACAGGCCGGAAGTGACGCCACAGCCGCACGCCGGCCCGCCCCCAAGGGGAGGAGGGCGGGGGGGGGGAGCGTGCGGGGGCTGGGGGCGGGGCGCGGCCGTAGCTCCGTTTCCGGTGGCTCGTCGCGCTCGCTCACTCCAGCTGCAGCCACTCTTGCCCGTGGCTGCTTCCTCCATCCTGGTATTTTTTGGAGCCTCCATCCTGGTTCTTCCAAAGTGCCCGGACCCAAAACAGGAAGTAAGTGCGATGGAACCTTCAGGTCCCAACCGCCGCCAGAGCCGCTCCGCCCAGTGGCGCCTGGCCGGCCCCCTTGCTCCCCGCCTGGTCCCGCCGGCCGGCGCAGGGTGCCTGCTGCCGGGCACCGCGGGCGGAGCCGGGCCTTCGTGACGCTGTCGCAGCGGTGCCCACACGCTCAGGCCAGGGCCTCCCTTTCGGGGCCGGGCCTGCGGCAGTGGCTCGGGCTGGAAAGGAAGGTTGAGAGCGGCCGCCCCTGCATCACAGCGATGTGGCGGGGGCGGAAAATGGCGGCGGCTTCGGAGGAGCTAAATGGCGCCGGGACCCCTGGGGGTGGGGGTGGGGGGGTAGTGGGCCGGGAGGTTTGGCAAAAGAATCGGACCCGGCGATGCAAGTAAGGAAGCCTTACTCCGCGGTCTTAGGATGTTCTGAATTTATTTTATTTCGGGGGTTACCTTTTCCGATGGGTTTCAGTTATGGACAGATGGCTCAAGAGGGATAGAGGTGGGGTGGGTCTCGACCCCCCCCCCCGCCCTCCTTTTTCTTTTTTAAAACCTTGTGGTAGCGGCTTTACACTTCTCCCCCCGTTTGGGGGACACTCGTGCTCAGCTCTTCACGATCCCGGCAGAGGCAATCGGGGTAACGGGCGGAACTCTCGTTGGCCCGGGGGTCCTGGACGGGAGCGCGAGGGGAGAGGCGCAGCGGAGCCGGGAACTGTCAGCCGCGCCTGCGACGTGGTGGTTGTCATTATTATTATTGTTGTTGATATTATTATTATTATTATTTTGCCGGGTCCCGGGGAAGTTTGGGAGAATGTCTAAATGCCGCTGGGACGTTCAGGACAATAGACTGTGGTTTGAGAGTTGAGCCTGGTTCTCGGGCGGAGCACTGTAGAGGATGCGCTTCGTGCAGGTGCCCGTGTGCGGGGTGGAGCTGGTGTTTTCCCTCCTCGGAACAGCTGGTGCGGGGGTGAGGGGGGAGAGGGGGCGGTGGGTCCCCGGGATGGGAGCCGGGGCTACCTCTCCCTGCGTGGATTTGGCGATGGAGTGTCATCGGTGCCTTTTCCGATCGCTCATCTCCATCCCGTCCCGGACCCCCCACCCCCTTGACAGGACAGGCAAGGCCAAGCGTTTTGGGGCGGCCGACCAGATGCTTTTCCTGCCAGGATGACTTTTCCCGTGTCCGGTGTGGCCGGTCTTGGATAAAGACTTTGGGGGGGGGGAGTGAGGGTTTTTGTTTTTGTTTCAGCCTTTGACTGATCGAGACGGCTTTGATGATTAAATTAGTGGGAGACTGTTAGTCGTGGGCGTTTCACTTCCAAGAAAATACTCCCTCGAGTTCAAAGTTTTACAAGCAGTTTTTTTATTTTTCTCTGTTCAGGTTCTCTTCCCCATTTCTACGATTTCAGATTTATTTATTTATTTGAGAGAGCTGGATGTTTCAAAATTGTATTTCGAACCTTTAAGGATTACCGTAGTTTAATCCTTTTTATTTTATTTTTTAAGTATTTCGAAGACTATACCACCACTTCATTGTTTAAGGGTACCCTGGTGTCGATGCACCAGAAACTGTGAAGGTGCATTGGTTCAATTTTATTAGGTCATCCTTTTTTTGTGTGTGTGTGAAAATTGTAGGACAATAATTCAGGAAAAAATTATTACCTTAAGAAATTGTAATGCTTTCTGAGTGAGAATTAATTGGTTTTCATTTTGCGGGTGTTTGCGGTGTTTTATTTGCTTGTTTTGGACGGCCACTCCTCCAAAGAGCTTACACCTGACTCTGTGCTCAGGGATCTGGAACCGCCTTACTGGTGGGAATGGAAATCCGTCCGCTGAGTGTAAGGCAAGCCCCCTAACTAGCTGTACTATTTCTCTGGCCAGAATTGGTTTTTCCCCCCCTTCATTCACCAGGGATAAAAACCAACTTGACCCAGGCTAAAATCATATTGTTACAGTTTTTGAAGAAATCTTTGGCTTATGTTTTGATATTTTGTTATGGTTTTATCTCATTAACTGCCAGGATCCTAGCTGTTTTTTATGCATTAGCAGGGTTTTCTTTTTTAAACTATCTTAGTTGATAGGCTCGCTCAGAATAGACTTTTGAGGGAATTGATGCAAAACTTGCATATTTTGCCTAAATCTTTCTTGGATCTGTTACTCTTGAGCAAGATGTAGGAGCCTTTGCACTCTTAAAAGCCAGTCTTGCAACTATTCCGTTTGTATTGGGCAGTGCCCACTTGGAATTTAAATTGGTATCTCAGCAGTCCCATGAGTAAATACTTGATACATAAACATTTCTCACTTTGTGTTCAGAACTTTAGATGTGTTTGTGCTAAAGCATTCATAACCTGAAGTTAAAATTCACCATTTTGGTGTTAGAATTTGAGCTTTGAACAGCTGAGCATGACTAGGAAATGATGTCTGGTAGAGAATTCTATCAGAAGGTATGTATTCTCAAGTTATTTTTAAGTTTTCTTTTTTTTTTTTAATCTAGTGCCTGGGTCAAGACCCGGTGTCATGCAAAGACTTGTGCTTTGCCTCTGAGCCACAGCGTGGATCATTTTATGTTTTTTTTTAGTTTTTTTATTAGTGAAACACCATAAGGTACAGTTATAAACTTATAAATTTTTGTGCTTGGGCTTCAGTTATACAATGATCAAGTACCCATCCCTCCACCAGTGCCCATTCTCCACCACCATGGGTCCCAGCATCCCTCCCGCCCCGTTCCCCCATCCCACCCTGCTTCTGTGGCAGGGCATTCCCTTTTGTTCTCTCTCTCTCTCTCTCCTTTTAGGTACTGTGGTTTGCAAGAGAGGCATTGAATGGCAATCATGTTTGGTCTATAGTCTACTTTCAGCATGCTTCTCCCATCCTGGAAAAAACCTGAGTGCCCAAGAACAGATGACTGGTTAAAGAAACCGGTACATTTACACAATGATGTACTATGTAGCTGTTAGAAAAGATGAAGTCATGAAATTTACATACAAGTGATACTACATGGAAAGTATCATGTTAAGCGAAATGAGTCAGAAAGAACGGGATAGACACAGAAAGATTGCATTCATCTGGGGAACATAAAGTAACAAAATGGGAGACTAACACCCAGGAGTGGCCGAGATTAGTCCCGGGAATTTTGCTCCATGACTGGAAGGCCAGCCACATGTGCTAGGGGAAAAGGAAGCTCAGATAGAGAAGGGAGCACCAAATAAAGGGTGTTGGGAGGATCCTCCCAGGATGGGAGAAGCATGCTGAAAGTAGACTATAGACCAATCATTTTATGTTTTTATAGAATTTAAGATTTTTAGAATTCCAGCCTAAGACAATTGGAGAAATGAGTATATTTCTAAGTTAGATGTTACTGGTATTTATGTTAGTAAAACTAGTTCTTCTCCACAAACTGCTTACCTTTTTGTTCCAATTTATATATTCAGTGTCTCCAGGCTCTTTATTTTCATTTATATGTCACACATGCTCTACTACATTGGCTTGCTTCACATCTGTGAGAATGAATAAGCTGACATGAAACTGGTGTCCCTATGGATATTGGCACACGTTAATATATTGAGAATCTGGAAAGTGTATGTGCATGCGCACGTGTGTGTTTAAATATTGTGGTCCAGGATCATTTGTTTTAAACACATGCAAGGGCATCAAATTTTAGAAGCAGCAAAAATTTCACTACATATTATATAAGTAAAGTAAAGGTAAAGTAAAGGCCCTCCCGTTGATCGTCGATTTGCTCGAGCGGGCCCAGTAACGTCTCCATTGGAGATTTTGTTGTTACTGTGTTTGGCATATCGAATACATCACGGGTGGCTTTCCAGGCTCTGCCGTGTGGGCGAGATACTCCCGGTAGCTTGCCGGGCTCAATTATATAGAGAGCCTATTTATTAAACTTGAGGAATAACTTGTCTTTTCAAATAGTTTTTTCTTAATAGTTTTCTCAAGGCACTGATTTGTAACCTTTTCCCCCATATTCTGTGAATTATATACTTCCGATTGTTTTGTGATTTCAGTTTGGGAACTTTTATGCCCATAGATCATATAATATAGTATGTTGAATCTGTTAAATACAAAATGCATAATTAACCAATATTTGTGACATGTTTGCTTTCATATAGTTTTCCACCTTCATGTTTTTCTTCTGTGAAGATAATCACAAATAGTTTTTAATTTTTGCTTTATCCCAGAAAGATAAATAATAAATAAAAGATGGAACCAATAACTGTGTCTGCTTTTTCAATTTTGTGGAGATAGTCTATATCATTAACGACACCAAAAGAGCGAGGATGAAAGTACCATCGTTTATGGACAATTTAGTTGTGTTTTCTTTATGTGTTCAGAGGGAGCGTCTTGTGGTTCCTTGGTTTCCCCTATCCCAGCCCCTCCCACTGTCTTTTTGAGCTGTCATTTTGATTATGTGCATTTGACTGATCATCCTTTAAAGTCTTGGGCTATCAGAAAATTTTTTTTTATGAAAGGTGATCTTTTTATGAAAGGTGCTTTACACTTACAAGTTTGTACTTCCTGTGGAAATGCACTTTTAGAATGGTAGTGATCATTCCATGTATTTCCCTTTGGGAAGGTGATACTTTACACAAAGAGCTCAGTGGTTTTTTTGTTGTTGTTGTTTTAATTTTAATGTAGGAGTATTGCTATTTATGTAGCCATTGATTAGGCTGATTGAATTGGGCATAAAGCTCAGTTTTTAATGAAATCTTAAAATGTAAACAAATTTCAAAATAGTACATTACATATTAGCGATATTTTGTTGACAAATCATGAATTACTACACCTTAATACTGAAAAAAACATTTTCAATTTATTATTGAAATAATCTTAAGTAATAAATATATAGTAAATTCTGCAACATTTTAGTGGTAATAATTTTTGCAATTTTAAAACCAATCCATAATGAACATATCTTAAATCAGTATGCTCCATGTTCATTTGTGTTTCTGCTTCTCAAGCTTTTCCGTGAAGTACATGTAAAGCCAGCAATCTATGACCACAGTAAGAGCTTTCAACTGAGTGAAGTATTAACTGTCCCATTCTTACCATGAATAAAATCTTTTAAGACGTTGACTTATGGCTCAGTGTACCTATATTCAGGGTGTAGGAATTTGCTTATTCTCTTACATTAAGACTTTAGCAAAGAATTTCACCCTTCAGAAATAAAAATAACATTTCAAATTATTTTTGTATGTCACTTAGCAGATTCCCATATAAATACTAAGGCAGTAGTGGCCTGCCGTAGATTAGGATGGAATCCAGTAGTGTAAGCTCAAAGTAATTAGTGGTTAGATGTATGTAGATACCATGTACCCAATAAACAACTGTTGTAGAACAACTGTTAGTATTGGAAAATACTCATTTAAAGCTAGGTGTGAAAAAGTTACAAAGAAGGAATATATAAAGATGGACCAGAAAAAAAAAGATCTAAAAACAACATGTCCTTAATGCCATATTAAACTGCCAGAAGCTGGGCAGGGCATTTGCCTTGCACGCGCCTGGCCCGGTTTCGATTCCCAGCATCCCATATGGTCCCCTGAGCACTGTCAGGAGTTATTCCTGAGTGCAAAGCCAGGAGTAACCCTTGTGCATTGCTGGGTGTGACCCCCCCCCCCCCCCAAAAAAAAGCACCGCCAGAAATTCTCAAAGCTAGTTTCTCAGTTTCTCACTCATCCAATAAAAATTTGGTTCTAGAGCTGGGACAATGGCTCAGAGGCTTAAAAAAGACGGACAGTTTCCTTGCATGAGGCCGAACAGCATTTAGTCAGGAACACCCTAGGTGGACTCCTGAACTCCTGGATCACAGAGCCAGGCGTGAGCCCTGAATAGCATGGGGTGTCACCTGAAAACAAGTCTACAGGCATGGAAAAGCATGTGGGGTGGAGGGTGGCTGGGAGACCAATGCAGACAGCCCTACAGTCTCAAGTCCTAGCGAAGGGAGAAAACTGGTGCTTGTTAGAAAAATATAATCTGCTTTTTGAAAAATACCATCAGGTCTCATCTTTCAAAATAATCGTAATTCCTAAGTATCTAGGATACAGATGTTAGCTTTTCGATCCCCCCAAGTGATATCTATCCTTAGCCACAGATATTATTACTGTTCTTGAAAACTGACAACATTTTTGTCTACAAAATTTATACCAGAACTAGGGCTGGAGTGATAGCACAGGGGGTAGTAGGGTGTTTGCCTTGCACGCAGCTGACCCGGGTTCGATTCCCAGCATCCCATATGGTCCCCCGAGCAGCACCAAGAATCATTGCTGAGTGCAAGAGCCAGGAGTAACCCCTGTGCATCACTGGGTGTGACCCCAAAAAAGGCAAAAAAAAATCATACCAAAACTAATTTTTAGAAATTTGACCCTTTATCCAAAACATGAAGACTAATATAAAGGCTCAAAATACCAGCTTAAGTTCTGTTGTTTAAAAAAAAAAAATTGTGTCAGTACTGAAATGGAATGCCCAAGAAACTGATTCTTTAAATTCTGTTAAATAGTACCTAAGAATTTCTCCCTATGGCTGGAACAGTAGTACAGTGGGTAGGGTGCTTACCTTGCCTGCCAGGAGTGATTCCTTTACTGCAAAGCCAGGAGTAAGCCCTGACCACGACCTGGTATGGCCCAAAATACAGATGAAACAAAACAATTATAAAATCATTCATATATACATATATATGAAGAATGTTCTACATTAATTAGGGGCATCATGTTCTTGGAGCTAGCAGCGAAAACTTTATCTGAAATATTAGTGTAAATCATTAAGAATGATATATACATTTCAGATAATGATTAGAGTACTGATGCTATTCAAAACTAAAATGTAAGATGCCATAATGCCATTTAAACCAGTTAGCGTGAAAATAATATATCATATATTACATTACACATATCTACATATATACCAAATATATATGTATATATCCAGTTAACAGAGAAGGAAGGAAGGAAGGTCCAAATATGCTGATATTGTTTTTGCCCCACAAAGGACAAAATGTTGGTGCAATTGAGTGCTTACTGGTATATGTTCCTGATAAACCAAATGGGAAATGGCCTTGAAGTTGTCCGTAGTTTCATATTAGAAAACAAGACACTAAGATACTCAATAGTTACATTGACACTGGTTATAGTAGTAGCTGTACTTTGTTGGCTAAACCCTGTAGAAGGCCTGTAGTTTATCTTTCTTATTCCTAATTCTCAAATGTTCCAATAGGCCTTGTGTCCCTCACTACTCTAAGACTTATTGTTAATAATCTCCAAATTACTAGCTCAAGTAGTCACTTCATTATCCTAGAAGTATTTCTATAATTGACTATTTAATGCTCCTTGAATAATTGTTTTTTGGTTCTTAGTTACTACTTCATATTATCTATCCTAAGAGGATTGGGTATATGAATGTGTATCGTGTCCTCTCTAACCTCTAGGTTATCTCCAAAAACAATCTGCATGTTATTTACATGGATTTATCAATATAATCCTTACCTGTTGAATCTCACTTTATAATTGTCAGTTTGACATCCTCATTTGGTTGCCTTATATTTTAATGATTAATAATAATAAAAGTATTTACCTCCAAGGAGAAAAGCTTGGAGACTAGGAAGTAGAGTCAGAAATAGACCTCTATGTAAAACCACCTTTTCTTTTGAATTTGAATCATAAATGTGTTACCTATTAAAATTACGAATAGAAACAGGCCAGTTGAACAGTGAGTTGGGAACATACCTAATTAGAGTGGGGGCCCTAATGAACTATTTTGTACTATTTTATGAAAATAAAATGTATAAAAATTGCAAAAAAATGAGTGGGGGCCCGAAGATAATTTAGTGGTTTGCACTGAATGCTGGCTGTCTTTGAATACCACCCAGCGTATGATCCTGCCATTGCATGTTTCCCTGAGAACTGAACTGAGGTTAGCTTCTCAGCACAGATGAGTGTTACTCCAAAACACCCCCCCCCCAAAAAAAAAAACACTGTTACCTAAAGAATCTGATACGTAACAGGCATTTGAAATATATTTGTTGATTGGACAAATATGCTCATGAGCAGCATAAGCCCTAATGTGAGTAACGTGTTTGTTTTTTTTTTAAACCTAGGGGCCTGAGTGATAGAACTACTTGGTAGGGCATTTGCCTTGCAAGTGGCTGACTCGGGTTCAATCCTTTTTAGTCCCCAAGCACTGTCAGAAGTAATCCCTGAGTATTGTAGGGTGTGGTCCCCAAACAAAACAAAACCAAAAAGAGCCCAGGTCTCCTGGTCTCTTTCAGAAGGATCACCTGTAATACAGGTTGTCGAGAATGAAATTATTTCATCTGGCACTTTCAGACACTTTATCTTGCAATTATTTCACTATATATCCTCAGAGCCACACCTATTTTTCACTTTTTTCCAAAATTTTAGATTAACATAGGTCCTAGGATGTCATTACAGTGGTAAACAAGGGATCGTCCTGCATTCTATCAAGTGGCAGTTGTAGTGTTTTGTTTGTGGTTCCTTTATAAACAGTTTTGACCATTACTAGGGATAGAGTTAGATTTCAGAGGTTGCAGTAGAAATTTGTACACTCTGAAAAATAGATTGACATGTATCTTGAGTTCTAAATTTTGTAGTTTTTGTTGAAACATATCTGTAAACTCAGATACTGTGGTACTTTTTAATTTTTCAGTTGATCTTTTGAAATAAGGATGAGAAACCTATTAAAAGAAACCTTTAATAATTAATCATTTTTTATTTTTTTAAGGTTGTAAATTGATTTTAAAAACTTGCTTATAATTGACTTTTCTGGCCCAATCAATTAGGGTTTCTTCTTTCCACCAAAGCCTTAGGCAGGGTTGTACCACCTATACTATTAATTTTTTTCTGCTTTCTTTATTTGTTTGGGGGCCATTTCCGGTGGTGCTCAAGGTGGGGCTCCGTGTACCATGTGCAGTACTGCCTGGAATTGAATCTGGGTCTGCTGAGCTCAAGGCAAGCATCTTACCCACTATACTATCTCTCAGGTCCTTGGTATTTGTTGTAAATATTTCATTGAGATATAATCTGACTTGAAATATATATTCATACATGAAGAGAGGTATCAAATAATAAAGAAAAATAGCATTACTGATAACATTTATTTTACTGTATTGGTTGACACATTTCACTTAGGGGTGCCAAGATAGAGAGCAACACTACTGACAGCTTTTTTTCTAAGGGTGTTTACCTTATGATGATTAGCTTGCGTTGCTATAAACAAACTTTGTTAGAGGATCTCATTATTTCTCCACTTCGTTGAAAGATAATATTTCAGGGAATAACTGGTTTAGTCTCTCTTCTAGTTGAGATATCACAGACACTCAGGCTAGAGTCTTATCCGCATACTGCTAGAATACAGTTGTCTATTCTCATAAAGGCCTTATTATTAATGCTGTTGATTTTTCAGAGTATTACAGAGGTAGGAACATGGGGGAAAAACAGTCCGGATAACATGAAAGTGATGCTGGTGACTAAAGAAAGGCGACGTGATTCTGTGGGAAGGGCTGTAGCTGATCCATCTGTTTTCTAGGTAAGTCTTACGCAGATTTTAGTCAATTAGATAATGATATCCATTTATCTTTAATTTGGGAATAGCACCTTTAGCACTGTGATGTCCATGATGTCCCTTTCTTTTATTATTTTATTGTGTTGGGTATCAAGTCCAGGGCTAATATATTCTGTCACTGAGCTAAAACCTAGGCCCCAGTTGATGTACTTTTAAAACAGTAATTTGTGTAATCAAATTTTATGTTTGTTTTTGTTTGGTTTTGGGTCACACTGGTGGTGATACTCAGGGGTTACTCCTGGCGGTGTTTGGGGGGACCATATGGATTCCGGGGATAGAACCCAGGTCAGCTGAGTACAAGGCAAATGCCCTATTCGCTGTACTGTTGCTCTGACCCCTTGACGAATTTTTTTTTTTAATGAATGCGATTACTGGATTTTCACTATGTAAATGTTAGTAAAGCTTTCTCTAATTAGAGTGGGGGCCCTAATGAACTATTTTGTACTATTTTATGAAAATAAAATGTATAAAAATTGCAAAAAAAATGAGTGGGGGCCAGAAGATAATTGTTAGTAAAGCTTTCTCTGTCAAAGAAAAATGCCTTTGTATATTTGTAATGCAAGGGTATATTTGTGAAAAATGTTTTATTTGAGTGATTAGTATATATATGTGAGTGAGTGATCAATACATATATTAAAGTTTTATTTACTCTATGCTGGTGTGTGAGTGTATGTGTGTGTGTGTGTGTGTGTGTGTGTGTGTGTGTTAGACTGAAATTGAGTACTGAGACAACTTAATGGGTGACCTAAAAACTGTAGCCAGGCCACTAATTAAGGTTCAATACATTTACCTTTGTCATCTCCTACATACCTGTCTAAGATTACTTAGTCTTTCTGAACCAGAGGAAAATAATAGCAGGTAAATATAATTTTTTTTAAAAGTTTTCTATTTCAAAAGAAGGCATAGCTCCAAATTAGAAAAGCAGTATGGTCAAGAATAGGTAATAAAAATTTCTTGGCTATTTTGGAAAACGTAGCAAGAAGTTAAATACCTTTTTGACTATATCCCGAAGTTACCCTCCCCACTCTCTGGTAACCAGAACTGGTTAGATAAAGTGACATGTCGAAGGCCCTGAGTTCCAATCCTTGACACAACATAGCCTTCTGACCTGGCTGTACTGGTGGATTGAACATATGTGTAATTACCCAAAAAACAAAATAGAAAGTAATGAGATTTGCTGAGATGATAGACAATTTAGAATCATTTCCTTTCAGTAGATATGATAGTTCTTTTTAAAAAGTTGATACTGTAGTGTTTTTGTTTTGGGGAAGCAAAACAAGTTTATTTGGAAAATAAAGGGAAGAGAGAACGAGAGGGAGAGAAAATGAAAGATGTGGTCAAAAGAGAACACAGCCTTCTCCAGAGTGTTTTTTTGGGGGGTAATGTTCACTATTTTTAATCAATTACAAATTTGATTCCTGTAGATGTTGCATCTGAATAAAGATTATAAACAAAAAATATTTTGAAATGTAAATTATAGCTGCTATTTCCAACAAAGAGCACTAGGTAGATAACCCAAAGTATGGCATTTTTGTTCTTGATTTTTGAAAGAATACAAAGGAGGTTCTTAGGGAATTACTTATGTTTCTCTTTGGAAGTGATATTTTAAATGCTAATCTAAAGTATATGATTGTACAGATTTGAGTATGAGCACAGTTGAAGAGGATTCTGACACAGTAACAGTAGAAGCTGTGAACTCGGTGACTTTGACTCAGGACACAGACGGGAACCTCATTCTTCACTGCCCTCAGAATGGTAGGAGAACTTAAAAATTTTGCATCTTTTTTAACCTCAGAATTTCATTCACTTTTGATGCTTATCCAGAGAGATAGTTTCTAGGACACTAGAAAATAAGCTCTGTCTTTGGGTGACATTTGTATGTTATTTAATTTATTGTAAATTTTAACATGAATTACAGAGCTAATTTACCTAGACTTTCTTGAGTTTCCAGAATGAAGGTGGGATAACTAATAGACTTTCTCTCTGATACATTTGGTACCAAAAACGCAGTAGACATTAAAATATAAAGTAATCCTCCCTGTGTGAATAAGATGGGACTTCTGATTTTTCACTTAAAAAAAAAACCTTTGAGATTTCACTTGATTATTTAATAAGATTTACTATTATCTTTGATTACGATTCCATAACTTTGCAGGTTATAACTTTTTAAATTTTGCTATTAGTTCATCGTTATTCAACCTTGATTTTGTCTTGGTTTTTACCCAATGAAGTCCTTAGATTATTTTATTCAGGCTTGTGGTTTTAACTGACACCTATTCAACCTACCCATCAACATGACTATAATTTCTATCTTTATTCTGGTTTTCTGTGTTTCTCATAGGCACTATAAATTTCACATGCCTCGAACAATTCTTTTGTAAAAATTCCCAATGCTACTTTTTTTCTAGTCAGTTTCATTATTTGATATTCCATATCATGAATGTGAGTAGTAATTTCCACATTCCATTCTTAGCATGAAGACTTGATATTGTTACTTGAATCCATTCCTTTTCTGTTCATTTGGGCCTCTTTTTCTTAGTTCAAAATTTTATTTTATAAAAGAGGACATGAGGAAATGGAAAGACATCCCCTGCTCATGGGTCGGAAGACTTAACATTGTCAAAATGGCAATACTACCGAAAGCACTGTACAAATTCAATGCAATTCCTATAAGGATACCCATGACATTCTTCAAAGAAATGGAGAAAACACTCCTGAAATTTATATGGAACAATAAACCTCCACGAATAGCTAAAGCAATTCTGGGGAAAAAGAAAATGGGAGGAATCAACCTCCCGAACTTCAAACTTTACTACAAAGCGGTAATAATCAAAACAGCATGGTACTGGAACAAAGGCAGAACTGCAGACCAATGGAACAGAGTTGAATACACTGACATCACCCCCCAATCATATGATCATCTAATCTTTGATAAAGGTGCAAGAAATGTGAAGTGGAGTAAGGAAAGCCTCTTTAACAAATTGTGCTGGCATCACTGGACGGCTACATGCAAAAAAATGGGCTCAGAACTCTGCCTAACACCATGTACAAAGGTAAGATCAAAATGGATTAAAGACCTCAACATCAGACCAGAAACCATAAGGTACATTGAAGACAAAGTTGGCAAAACCCTCCATGACATTGAGGCTAATGGTATGTTCAAAGATGACACGCCACTGGCTGAGCAAGTGAAAACAGAGATAGATAAATGGGACTATCTTAAACTAAGAAGCTTCTGTACCTCCAAAGAAACAGTGACCAAAATACAAAGACAGCCTACAGAATGGGAAAGAATATTCGCCGAATACACATCTGACAAGGGATTGATATCAAGGATATACAAAATACTGGTTGAACTCCACAAGAAGAAAACATCCAACCCCATCAAAAAATGGGGCAATGAAATGAACAGAAACTTTCTCAAAGAAGAAATCCGAATGGCAAAAAAGCACATGAGAAAATGCTCTACATCATTAATCATCAGGGAGATGCAGATCAAAACCACAATGAGATACCATCTCACACCTCAGAGACTGGCCCACATTCAAAAGAACAAAAGCAACCGTTGCTGGTGCGGATGTGGCGAGAAAGGGACACTCCTTCACTGTTGGTGGGAATGTCCACTGGTTCAGCCCTTCTGGAAAACAGTATGGACGATTCTCAAAAAATTAGAAATTGAGCTCCCATTTGACCCAGCGATTCCACTCCTGGGAATATATCCCAGAGAGGCAAAAATGTGTAGTCGAAGTGACATCTGCACTTGTTTGTTCATTGCGGCACTATTTACAATAGCTAGAATCTGGAAAAAACCTGAGTGCCCGAGAACAGATGACTGGTTAAAGAAACTTTGGGATATCTACACAATGGAGTACTATGTAGCTCTTAGAAAAGATGAAGTCATGAAATTTACATACAAGTGGTACAACATGGAAAGTATCATGCTAAGCGAAATGAGTCAGAAAGAGTGGGATAGACATAAAAAGATCGCATTCATCTGGGGGACATAAAATAATAAAATAGGAGATTAATACCCAAGAATAGCTGAGATCAGCACCAGGAGGATTACTCCATAACTTAGAGGCCAGCTGGGTAGTCTAGGGGAAAGGACAATTCAGATAGAAAGGGGAACACCAAGTGGAGGGTGTTTGGAGGATCCTCCCAGGAGGGGAGATGCAGGTTGAAAGTAGACTGGACTGAACATGTTCGCCACTCAATGCCTCTTTGGCTGATCACAGCGCCCAGGAGGAGAGAGAGAACAGGGGGGAATGCCCTGCCACAGTGGCAGGGGGGGATGGGGGGATGGGAGGATGGTGGGGGGAGGGATATTATCCTGGTGGTGGAAAATGGGCACTGGTGGAGGGATGGGTATTTGATCGTGGTACGACCGAGATCCAAGCACAAAAATTTGTAAATCTACAACTGTACCTCATGGTGTTTCACTAATAAAAAAGAAAAAAAAATCTACAACAGAAAAAAAAAATTTATTTTATTTAGTACCTGAATAACTGATTGATTGTTGAGTTTTTTGTTTTTTTCACTTGGCACGTAGCTCTCACATCATTTCTTTCAGCCCCATTCTCCTTCCATATTTTATATGTCTGCAGTTCACACTATTGCAGCAGTTCACAATTTTTTATTTTGTTTAGTTTAGGTTTTTTGTCCTCATCTGGCTCTGTGCTAAACTGAGCATGAGGAGCATGTTTAGGGGAACACTAGATACCTGAGATCAAACCCAAGACTCTGAATGGGTTCCAATGAATTGAGCTGTCTCTCCGCCTTCATAGTGGTTTTTATTTTTCTAGCTTTCCTTAAACTTTTTACATCTAGGTTTCATTGCACATATTCCTACTGCCAGTAATAATTTTTCTCTAGCCTCTGTTTCTCTTTGAACTGAAAAGACACCTTCTTTTGGCAACCTTTCTTTATCTACAATTTAAACTATTCCATGTCCATATCTCATGTTACAATAGTTTTAAATCATTAGTTTTCTGCACTACAGCCTTGGGCAGTATGTCTTCTATTGTCTAATCCTGGCACTTGGAACATTTTTATCATTCTCAGTATACATATTAGTATTTATGAATGAATTAAATAACGAGCACTTATCTTTATGTATGAAATATTTGGGAAGCCAGGCAGCTAATTGTATAGAAATATGATGTTCAAAAGTGACCTTTTTGGTCATAGTTCCTTGTCATAAGAATAGGAACCACGAGCTGCACTAGGAGTAAGAAAAGTTGATGTCTTTTGAGTCCTGATTGCTAAATTGGGTTGAATTGATTTGACCAAATCAGTAAGATTATTTTTCTAAAGATTGTTAGCTTTTGTTGATTTTTTGCTTTTTCTTCTTTAGAGATTTGAAATTATTGTTTTTGTTTTTCATTAGAAACTGATGAAATAGACTCGGAAGATAGTACTGAACCTCCACATAAAAGACTCTGTTTGTCTTCCGAGGATGATCAGAGTATTGATGATTCTACTCCTTGCATATCAGTTGTTGCACTTCCACGTAAGTTGTCTGTCACTTACATAGATTTTCCTTTTGAAATAAAGTTTCAGCTCTTGAGAAATTGAACTGGCATTTCAAAGCAGGTGTAGACTACTGTTCTTCTTTTTATTAAATCAAAAAGCTCTCTTTTAACTAACACCTAATGAGAGCTTATTTTTGTGCCAAGCAGGACCTTAAATGATTCGGTATATAATGTGTAATCTTTTCAATCTTTTTAAATTATTACTCTTCTCTGTCCATAGGGTGCCTGTTAGGCATTTTCTTCTGGTGGTCTCCATGAAAATGATACATGTATAATTTGTGAGCAGTACTGTATAGTTAACAATATTGTAATTTCCAGTATCAGTAAATTTTTTTTAAAATCGTCTCTTAATCTGCATATTAGTCTAGATTAGTGTTTCTCAACTTTTTTTTTTATGAATTTATTTTTTGAATCACCGTGAAAACAGTTACAAATCTTATGGGTCTAAGTTTCGGTCATACAATGGTCAAACACCCATCCCTTCACCAGTGCACTTTTTCCACCACCAAAAACCCCAGTATACCCCTCATTCCACCCTTTTACATGTGTGGCAGATAATTTCCACATCACTGTCTCTCTACTTTGATTACATTCAATATTTTGACACTAGTCCCACCATTATTATTTGGAATTTTCCTCCAACACTCAGACCTGCCAAAAAGGCAACATTAGACAATTTGTTTTCTATTGCTGGTTATGAATAGCATGTGATATCATGCGGTGCCATAGCGGCCGCATGATCTTGGAATTATGAAATTTTAATGATTAAGTCTGGAGAGATTTTCGCCAATAGCTACTGGGTTCTGAGATTCATTTGTATGTCTCTGGGATCACTAAGGAACTTAAGAAGCAGACAGAGGGACTCTGTAGGCGGCATCCAGTGTTTCTCAACTTTCTTTCGACTATGATTCTCTTCTAACTTGCCTTCCCATGGCTCCCTGTCCTACCATTTGCCTCCATCCCCCGCCCCCAGTCTCGTGCTGTGGTCCTCTAGTTACATGTTTTCACTGGGGGCCCACAGAGGGTTATAGGACCTCTGGCTGAGAAATACTAATCTAGGGCTGGAGCGATAGTACCGCAGGTAGGTTGTCTACCTTGCACACAGCCAACCTGGGTTCAACTGCTAGCCATGGTCCTGAAGCTATGCTAGTGATGTTCTTCAAGCACCACCTGTGTAATTTCTGAGTGCAGAGCCAGTAATGACCCCAGAAGCAAAAAAAAAAAGAGGGAGAGAGAAATACTAATCTAGATCCTTTGTTGACCAACCACATTTTACAGTCATCTTCTGTATTCCATTTTATATTGAGCTAAAACTTTTTTTGTTACTCAGCTGATAATTTCACTGCTTTAGCATGCTTTGCTTTATTTTCTACAATGCTTCAATTACCACTGCAGTTACCACTTTTGACAACTCAGTTGTTATCTATTTCAGACTTTGTTGTCCTATGACTATTTCCCATCTTTCCATCTTACTTTCTGATATTCATATCCTGTTTCACAGGAACTCATTGGTCTTTATAACTTTTTCATGATTCCTTCCCTGCCTATCATCAGTTATTCTTTATTTGTTGTTTCTTTATTTGGTTAATCATAAGTGATCACTAGCTAACCTTTATTCTTATGTTCTTCTCTTTATTATTTTTTTAAACATAACTATTTAAAACTATTTATATCCATAGCAATCAAGCTAAGTGAAAAAAATCAGAAGAATAGCCCAAGAAAAACTGATTGATATCACTTTAAAATTCATGGTATTTGGACAACAGTGATAGTATAGCAGGTCGGGTGCTTCCCTTGTACACTGCTTACCTGGGTTCAATCCCCCTGCATCTCAAGGGAGATAACTAAGAACTTTGGGGTTCAAAACTGCTCAGTATAATCCCTGAGTGTAGAGACAGGATCCTGATCACCACTGGGTGTGCCTCCCCCCAAAAAAAGAGAAAAGTTTATGATTATTGCTGGAGAGATAGTATAGTCTTTAAAGGAACTTTACTTGCCTGCAGTAGGCCCAAGTTTAATTCCTGATACCCCCAAGCCCACTAGGAGTTCTTGAACACAGAGCCTGAGGTAAGCCCTGAGCACAGCCAGTCATGGCCTCAAAACAACAAACAATTCATGGTTATTAATTTAAGTTGGACTTAAATATTGTCTACCACACACATCATATTTTTCCCCACTCTGAGATGACTTTCATATATCCTGAAACCACCTATACTTTTTCTCCATCTCAACTGATAAACTTTTTTCCTGCCTTTTTGAAAAGTTACAATAGCCCAAAAAGTAATGTGTAAATGTTTGCTGCCACTCTATAATCAAATATTTTACCTCTTTTTTCCCCCTAGCTAAAATGAGCCCTTCCGTTCATTAAATCCCATCTTTTTAGTTTAGGCCTATTTAGTTGTTGCAGCAGTTCTTTCCTTTCCTGAATTATCAGTTTCTCCTCTGATGGGTTGTTCCCATCAGATTTATAAACATCTTATAATTTCTTTTAAAAATTGCAGTAGAACACGTTTGGCCCCCATTCAATTGTCCTCCTTTCCTGTAGAGTAAAATACTGGAAATAATTGCCTTAATTTCTTCTATGCTTCATTAAAACCACACCAATCAGATTTTTTACCGTTGGCACTTCTCTAAAACTTCCTTCCCAGGTTCGCAGAGACCTTGCTACTAAACTAAATGATGTCTTTTTCCTAGTTAATTTATTGAGTTTTTTTCTAGGGACCGTGCCCATTGGTGCTCAGCTGATCGTGCTGGGAGACTGGATGCAGTTTTGGGGAATGATTTCAGGGTCTGCCACTTGCCAAGCAGGTGCAACTTGCAGCCCTTTGAACTCTGAGCATAGTTAGGTGTGACACTAAAACAAAAAGAAAATGGGGTGAGGGAATTTTGCCTCAGATTGCTGAATATATTGGCCTTTTCTAAGCTGCCTTGGCTTAGATTCTGTACTGATGACATTGTTAAAATAAAGGGACGTTGAGCTCTGGTGGTCTTCATTTTGTGTCTTATCAGGTTCCTGCTGAATCTGCTGTTGTTTTAATCTGGAGTTTAGGGATGACTGCAGGACATTTCAAAAGATGATTCTTTTCTGATCATATCTTGTTTTTATGGCTTTCTGAAATTTATTGCTTGGTGTGGGGGGGCCTCATGACTGCCTAGTTCTCATCTAAGATTTCACACACTCCCAGCTCATTTTCTTTCTGGTTTACGTTTTTTCTGCACTGCTCACCCATTCAGCATACTGATCTAGAATATAAGCACCATGTAAGCAGGAGATTAGCTGATTCTGCTTGCTGATGTCTTCCCCTCAGCCAGAGTGATGCGTTGTAATAATATTTTAGAGCATATCGAGTATTGGGAAGAACTGTGTTAAGAAACTAGATGGTCAGATTATTTTTGTGTTTAAAAAAAATCAGAAGGTGCCAATATTCTGGATTTGGACTTTTTTTTTCCTTAAAGTTTCAGAAAATGATCAGAGCTTCGAGGTGACCATGACGGCAACCACCGAAGTGGCAGAGGACGAGATAACAGAGGGAACTGTGACACAGATCCAGGTATAGCAAATCTTTTTACTGACTGAGAGGTTTATTCTTTATGTGTAACTTTGACAATATATATTTTTTTAATTGAATCACCATGAGAACAGTCACAAAGCCTTTCAGTTCAAGTCTCGGTCGGTCATACAATGATCAAACACCCATCCCTTCACCAGTGCACATTTTCCACCACCAAGAATCCCAGTATACCTCCTCTCCCATCCACCCTCCACCTTTGTGGCAGATTTCCACTTTACTCTCTCTACGTTGATCACATTCAATATTTTGACAAATATTATGCTGGAGCGATAGCACAGCAGGTAGGGCGTTCGCCTTACAAGCGGCCAACATGGCCGACCCGAGTTCGATTCCTCCGCCCCTCTCGGAGAGCCCGGCAAGCTACCGAGAGTATTCGATATGCCAGACACAGTAACAACAAAGTCTCCAATGGAGACGTTACTGGGCCCGCTCGAGCAAATCGACGATCAACGGGAGGGCCTTTACCTTATTATGACAAAAGACCCAACATTATTATTTGGAATTCTCCCCCAACATTCAGACCTGCCAAAAAGACATCATTAGATAATTTGTTTTCTATTGCTGATTATGAAGAGCATATGATGTCGTGTGGCCACAATAGTGGCCAAGCGAATTTGGATTTCTGATATTTTAGTAATAAGCCTAGAGGGATTACTGCCCAAAAACAAAGCCCCTGGGTTCTGAGATTGGTATGTGTACCTCTGGGTTCATGGTTGGTCAGAAACTGGAGGAGGCGTTTGAGGGTGGCAACCCGGAGCAGACAGTAAACATTTAAGACCATATTTCATAAAGCAATAAGCACAAAACAGGTAAGATGTTGCTTCTTTTGACTTTCATTCCCCACAAATACCAGTCTCAGAATTACAGCAAAGAGAACTTTAAATCCATTCCCCAGACAGTGATCCTTTTTTTTGGAAAGAGATAGTGCATATGCAGTCTTCATATACATTGAAGATTGTTACTGATGCTGTTAAATAACTTTGAGTTTTACTAGTAAAAACTGATTGGAATATAAAACTTTTTAAAATAAGTTTTACTGATAAGTTTTTTACAGTAGAAAGGCTACACAGATTACCTAATCCACTGTGAATGAAAACTAGTCATGTTAAGTAGATTTAAATTTTAACAGTTGTAGTTATGACACTACCATTTTGTTTGTTGCTTTATATACATTTTGCCACATGACAAGAGGTTGGATAATAATGTCGTTAAGTGTTTTCTTGTGTAAAACCTTGTCTAATAAAAATCCTAGTTAAATTCTTTGATTAAAGGGTTTCCTTGCTTGTGGCCAACCCGAATTAAGTCCTGGCACTCCATATGGAACCCAAGCCCCATCAGAAGTAAACCCTGAGTATTGCGGGATGATCCCCAGAACCAGGGGGGGGGGGAAAAACCCTAAAAACCTAATTTCCCTTACAGACTGAAGCTTAAAGACTATTTCACTTGAGGTTTATCTCTGATTCTGCCCTTTATGTAGTACCTTAGAGTGATAGCACAGCGGTAGGGCGTTTGCCTTGCACGCAGCCAACATGGCCGACCCGAGTTCGATTCCCCCGCCCCTCTTGGAGAGCCCGGCAAGCTACCGAGAGTATCTCGCCCACACGGCAGAGCCTGGCAAGCTACCCGTGATGTATTCGATATGCCAAACACAGTAACAACAAAGTCTCCAATGGAGACGTTACTGGGCCCGCTTGAGCAAATCGATGAACAACGGGAGGACAATGACATCCTTTTATATTATTGTTCATTTCATAAAATATTTGTAATAGTAGAAATAGTCCTCTTATGTGAAACTTCATGATAAGACTTAAATATAATAATTACAAGTTGGTATATAGCATAGACTAAGGACATCACAGGGAGGTCCACTGTTAATCTTTTGTAATAGGAATCTTCAGAGTAATTCCAGAATGACAGAATTTCCAAAGAAGTGACTTTGGTGTGCTAAAAATTGTTTTGAGCTAGGCCACTGATCCTCATAATCTGTCGATAGGTCTCACCAGATGATTTGAACAGTAAGTGTTTTTTCAAAACTTTGAAAAGCAACAGAGCATATCTTCCCTTCAAAGTGGGGCTTGTCACATTTAAAGACTGTATAGTCTTGCTTCTTTTCTATTTTCCAATACAGTGAAAAACTTATGATGTATGTGTGGTCTGGTTTACAGAGAAGTCATTTTAGAAGATTGAACATTGGCATTGTTAGTCCTTATTAGAGAAATTATAGAGTTGTAGTCTTTGGGTTATAGCATAAATGTTAAATAGTTACAAATTAGTATTAGCCTCTGGGCCTGTTACTACCATTTTCATAAGAGAATTTTTAGTAACAGTTTCTAGTATTTGTGCCCTTTTGTGTCATACAACATATATGTATTTCACATATTTACTAATTAATATAGTGTCTTATTTTAGTGATAGGACAAGCAAGTAATTAAAAATTGGAAGTCTCCCATATATACAATATTTTGTGGTTGTGAGAAATATTCAATAATTAAAATGATTATATAGATTTTGATTTTAATACTGAATATATTAAATTCTGCAAACAGACTCCTTAAAAAGCAAACAGTATGCTTTTTAATAAAGTATGTTAAATAAAGCCTAAAGAATATTAAAACATTTATACATAAAATAGTGATAAATGAGAGTGAAGAACTATTAAAATATATCTATATACTAAGTATAAATACCTCTTAGGGAATCTAATATACTTAATTTAACTTCGATAATGATAATTCTCAAGTTATAATTTTTATATTTTAATAATTAATATAGTTCTTAAATCAGGAAAATTTGAGCCATGTGACACTGCCATGTGCCCCAACTTAATGTGCCCCAATTCATTATTACAGGTTTATTTATGAAGTACATAAAATGGACTATGCTGTTCATTTAAATAAATGGACTTTAATAATGATTTTTACTCTTATAACTCATTGTATACTTTATTCTTATTACTCTAACTCATTATATATGAGAAGAGCATCTTTGGAGAATATTTTCTGCATTATATTTCTTAAATGAGGGCATTGTATCAGTGTGTCTTGATTGTCATATTATCCTTGGTGAATAACTTTTGTATTAAATCCTATAGAACCTTAATCTTTAGAGTACAAAAGGCTATGAAATATAATCAGTCTTGTCTGTTTCAGTTCTCAGCTTCATAAGACCTCTTGATCTTTAAAAAGAAAAAAAATCTAAAACTATGACAACTGACCAATGGGTTTAAAACGTTTTGTTTTGTTGTAGAGATCTGTAGCTTTTTGTCCTTGGATTAAAAAAGCAAAACACTTTCATAAACTCAAAAACAGGTGTTATAGTCTATTCTTCATTATGCTTTTGTTAATAATGCTGGCAGCTTTTTTTTTAATGAGTTGAGTTTTAATACCTCTTGAAATTAAGAATTTCCTGCTTATTCAAGAAATAGTCTTATCTTTGTTGTATATTACTTCCACACAATTGATTCAATCCAGAAAGACTACTAAGTATGCAATTCATGTTTCACTCCAAAGGAAGAGTGCCTCAAATAATAACAGATTCAGTATCACTTGTCCTCAAACTCCAAGTGTTTTCCTTTGGAGTGGTAGACAATTTACTTTTGAGCAGGGAGTAGATAAAAAGTTGGCCAACAGGCGTCAATAGATAGTAAGTATATTTAAGTTCTGAAACAGATAAATTTTATGATGATTGGGGCTTTCCAACAATGGGATTAGCACAGTTCCCAACAAGACAAGCTTGAAAATCATATATTGGAGATACTAAAGAGAAGGGCTGGAGCAATAGCACAGCGGGTAGGGCGTTTGCCTTGCACGCAGCCGACCTGGGTTTGATTCCTCCACCCCTCTCGGAGAGCCCGGCAAGCTATCCAGAGTATCCCATCCGCAAGGCAGAGCCAGGCAAGTTCCTCGTGGTGTATTTGATATGCCAAAAACAGTAACAGCAAGTCTCACAATGGAGACGTTACTGGTGCCTACTCAAGCAAATTGATGAATAATTGGAGGACAGTGCTACAGTGCTACTTCAGAGAAAGCCAGATGAAAGGAATTCAAAGAGACCCAAACTTTAACAACCAAACTTGCAATGCTTCATTTATTTTCGCCTTCCTTTGATGAACTCCTACCTGATTTGGCAGTTACCTACATTGCTGATCTTCCAATACAGCTTATTTTAATACTAAAGCCAGCCCTCTTAAAGCACAGCTTTATTCCTTCAGAATTTGTTAAATTGGGAATATAAGTAGTGAAAATATAGTTGTATAAGTATACTGTACACAGAGCTAGGAAGATGACTCAGTCATTGTAGGTGCATTCCTTATATCCATAAGAACCTAATGTAGATCTGCTCAACTTACCTGGGTATATCCCTGTTGGCAGCAGCACTGGTGACCTGAACCACACTGCATCTCCTGTCCCCTTTTCCCCCAACATTAACTGCCTGACTGGGTTGACCAGATATCACTGGTGTTGGTCCATGGGTCCCCTGAATAAGATTTAGGCCTTCTCATTCCACCCAAAATACACATTTATTTAAATAACACTGTATATTCAAAAGCACTAAATTGTGTACATCCCTTCTAGAAAAGGTTAAGTTTTATAGTAAGATTCAGTAAGTATTTTTTCTACTATTAAATGACATATTTCTTGGCAAAGACTCATTTGATTGCAGTAATTTTTATTTTATTTTATTTTTTTAGGTAGTACCATATAGTTTCTCTTAAAAAAGTACATAAGATAGGGTAGAAATCAGCTCTTGGGGTTAACTAAAACTAAGTTTTGTGTAAACAATGAACAGGCCATGACTTTGCAATGCATTTGATTTGACTTGCTAATCTTTCGGATTTAGCTAAAGATTATAATATAGATGTTATTTAAGCAACAGACTACCTGCCAAAAGTATAACATTTAATCTTAAAATCTCTATTTCATTGTACGATCCCATTATAGATACATATGTATCTATACATACACATACATACACACACACACACTCACTCAGAAGGCTTTGGATCGACTTTATTGATCTAAATAATAGAATATTCCATAAAAACGTAATGTTCTATATAATTCAGGCCACTAGTACATAGTTACTTGGTTAATAAAATTCTCATTTTATTAACCGCTTTATTAAATACAAATTTATTAAATTTGTATTATATTAACCGCTCGAGCAAATCGATGAACAACGGGAGGGCCTTTACCTTTACCTTTACCTATAAATACAGATGGGCTGGAGCAGTGGCACGGTGGGTAGGGTGTTTGCCTTGCATGCAGCCAACATGGCCGACCCGAGTTCGATTCCTCCACCCCTCTCGGAGAGCCTGGCAAGGTACCCGTGATGTATCACATTCGATATGCCAAACACAGTAACAAGTCTCACAATGTTACTGGGCCCGCTTGAGCAAATTAATGAATAACAGGAGGACAGTGACATAAATACAGATAACTTCATTTCAGATCATTGGGATAAAAATTGCAAAAAATATTTGAATTCCTACAAGTTGAGCATATTTTTATTGTAGCTAGTGCAAGTAAATTGTAAACAAAGATGAAGAATTTGGGTTAGTAAGTATATCAGATTGCTTATTCTCTTTATTTTTTAAGATTCTCCAGAATGAGCAACTAGATGAAATATCTCCCTTGAGTAATGAGGAGGTTTCAGCAGTTAGTCAAGCATGGTTTACAACTAAAGAAGATAAAGATTCTCTGACTAATAAAGGTAAGATGTAAAGTGAATTTTAGGGGGTGGGGGGATGTAGCTAAGAGGATATACAGTCATCAGGATTTTGAATAGGATCTTAATTGTGGTGGAGTGGCTTCAATAACTTGTGCTTTTGCAATGAAGTTTGTCTCTGAGAGCATAAAACCAATTATTTGTTTTTAAGTAATCATTTTTGAGATATGAAAGAGATTTCATCTTGTTAATTTTTTAATTAAGGCACTGTGGTGGTATTAAACAAACACTGCAGTTACACCCCAGAGGAGTTGAAAATAAAACCTTTCCTAAGTGGCTTTGAAACAGTTTTTATAGTGCTCTGTGCTCCTTAGGATTAGAAAACTGCTCAAGAAGGTGGGAATTGTGTGTATATGCCACTCTGAAATTAGGAAAGGAAGCAGAGGTAAGTAAATTGCTTTCAGCCTAGACAAAGTAAACTTCATTTACCCTAAAATCTTTTGTGCACTTGCTTTTACCAGTAACAGTTATTTTTCATTAGAGGAAAAATTTTGAGTTCATATCATGATTTACCTTTTTTCGGTATATATAAGTCTTTCTTGGCAGCCCTGGTTTGTTGAATGGTGAAAAGAAGTAACTGAAAGTAATATTTTTGAATCTTTTACTTATTATCTTTATTTAATAGGGTCATGTATTTTTTAAAATTTAGAGGTTGGGCTGGCAGAGATTAACTGGTACAACAAGTAAGGCACTTGGCCAGCTTTGATCCCTGACATCACTCCTGATATTTGCCAGGAGTGATGATTAGTGCAGAGCTGAAAGTAAGTCCTGAGCTCCACTGGGTGTGGCTCCAAAAATAACAACAGCAACAACAAAAAGGAAAAAAACCTGGAGGGTATAAAAGCAAGTTTACCCACTCCCGAAATAAATAAAAACTAGAGGTCCTAGGGGCCAGATAGATAGTGCAGTGGGTAGGATGTTTTTCCTCATTTGCTGCTTGATCTGCATTCAATGTTCAGTCACTGGCGGCCCATCTTGATCTGCTCTGCCCCACCAAAATTGATCTCTTAAGTGCAAAGCCAGGAGTAAGCCCTGAGCACCACTGGGTATGGTCCACAAAAGAGAAGCATCAACAACAAAAAGGCAAAAAAAACCTGGAGGATATAAAAGCAAGTTTACTTGTAGGTTAGATTACACATAAATCAGAAATTAGCTGCATTTTATTCCTAAAGATAATTTTATCACAAAACAAGTTATTTTTTTGCTATAGCGAAATAACATTTTCCATGACATCACTTATTTTTTTTTTAAAGGACATAAGTGGAAGCAAGGAATGTGGTCAAAGGAAGAAATTGATATTTTGATGAACAATATTGAACGCTATCTGAAGGTATCTAATGGCACTTTATTTTGTTTCAGTAATGTTTTCATTGCCAAGTTCAAAAGTAATAAAAACAGAATATTGTATATACTCATTAGAAATCTTTCAGTAATTTTTTATAACAGATAATATGTTATTAGTAATTCTAAGATGCATGTTAAGGTTTGTTTATATTATCATTGGTTCACATAGCAATACTGCTTTAGCTAACACCTGAAATTTCTACAGATAACATTACATTAATACCCTCTCAGAATTGTAAAGCCATCTTTTTCAAGATGATAATTAAGTATTAAGTAAGTGAATTTATATTGTCAAGAACGGTGTTCCACAGTGACTGATTCCCCACCCCAGGGTAGGTGATTGAGCCTTTCTTGCAATTGGTAATCACATTCTATTTGATTAAGGAAGGAAAAAAGATGGGGAGGGGCCTTCCCCCCACACACACCACCACCACCACCATCCTTTGTTTTCTCTGAAAGTGTTGTGATCGTAGGCCAAATAAGTTTGGAAACTTTCAGTTTAAAGCCTAAGATAATCTTTGAGTGGACTTACGACATCCCTTTTCTGATCATATTAAGATTTTTCTTTTTTTTTTTTTTCTGTAACAAACATAATTAAGTTTGTGGTTTTTATTTACCCTTTCATAGAGCAGCTTTTACTATCATTGATCTTATTTCTATTTCATTTATTTTCACTCTATTGCCTACATTATACTGACCTTAGATTTCATTGCTCTTTGAAATTTCTTAAGATGTGCTTATATTTTTTTATTTGTGCAGTTTCTTGCCACATTGCTGTGAACTTCCCTTTTAGTACTGCTTTAGCTCTTTCCCATATTTTCTGTTAGTTTTTCTTCTGGTTTGTTTCCAGGAAACTTATTTCCTCTTTGATTCCCTCATTAATCTTATAATGCTCAATAGCATGTTGTTCAATCTCCAACTGATGATGAAGGGCTTTGTTGTTGTTATTTAGACTTTTTTCCTTATAGTTCATTACTAGTATTACATAGTTGTAACTGAAAAGGATCTTCATGTGATTTAAATCTTCAGGACTTTATTAACACTTATTTAGCATCTGTGCATTCATTCTCACCCTTTGCTTCATGTTCTTTAAAAAAAAGAAAATGTTTTATATATTTTGGCATACTTCAGTCTTTCAGAGTAATAAAGATCTTTCAAACCAGGCTAATGTTCTAAGGGCCAGAGAAATAGCACAGAGGATTAGAGATTGTAGAGCAGGTTAAGATGCCTGCCTTGATGTGGCTGACCCTGATTTGATCCCTGGCACAGCATATGGCCCCCTTAGCACCATCAGGAATGATCCCTGGAGTAAACTCTGAGCACTGCTAGATGTGGCCCAAATACCGTGGTGGGGGGGGGGGTAGGGAGGGGTTTTTTTGTTAGTTTGTTTTTTTAGAAACAGGTTATAGAAAATAGGAAGTTCTTTTGGAATTTTTTACTAGAAAAGCATCTAATCCATGCATCGATCCAAAAGAATTAGACATTTTTATCTTATCTGAACTTTTTGTTGGAGAACATTATGCAGCTCTTCATCTTATTTTCTCTTAACCTCCTTCAGTTTTGTTTTTCTCCATAAAGGACTTTCTAACTTATCTAAGAATACAAATGCTTTTCATTTGATGTTATTATGAGAACCTTTTCTAAGTTTATGAACTTTGTACAGGAACATCGATAACATGTATTGACATTATAATCTTCAGTTCTTGCTAAATGTATTCTTTAAAACCAATGTTACCAGTTTTTCAGTTCCTATATTTGCCTTATTAGATTAGCAGCAAATCCTAACTTGCCGAGAGTTTTATTACAAGTGAATGTTAAATTCTATAAATGTTCTTTTCACGTATTTTGAGATTTTATATTTTTATACATAAATCTACACATATGCTTAATCTCCACAAACTTGTATTCCTAGAATAAGGTCAGTTATATTTTTACACATTTTTGTGCAATAATGAATTTAATGTATTTATAAAGGTACGGGGAAATTGATGGTAATGAACAGCTTGGCCTAAAAATTCTTCTCTTGAAATTTCCTGACTTTGCTAATGAGATGATGCTAACCCAATAGAATGAACAAGCAAAATCACAAACACCACAGTTCTTTATGGGAGATGGGGGAGTAGGTGAAGGGTGGTTTGACACACACCCAGCAGTGCTCAGGACTTACTCCTGACTTGGAACACACATACCACACAGAGGCCTATCTATAGTGCCAAGAATCAAATCAGGGTCTGGTGGCTGAAGTGATTGTAAATAGGTAGGGTGTTTGCCTTGCATATGGCCAACTTGGGTTCTGTCCTCAGCATCCCATATGGTCACCCAAGCACAAACAGGAGTGCAGAGCTAGGAGTAACCCCTGAGCATAGCTAGGGTAGCCAAAAAAAACAAAACAAAACAAAAGTAAACAAAAGAACTAGGGTCAGACATGTGTAAGGCATATGCCTTACTCCTTATTCCATCTTTCCTGCCACACTTTTTCCTTTATCTCTTAGCTGATACTTGGATTTATTTAAAAACTCATCTAGTCTAGATATTTTCATTTTGGAAATGAAAATTACCAGTAACGAAGTTTTCTTGTTCAAAACATATTAGATTATGTATTTTAAAACTTACTTGGGTTATTCAAGTTTATTTCGCTATGTAAGTTTTCAAATTTGTTGCCATCAAATTTTAATGATTTTCAAATCTAATCACTAGCATTATTATATAGTCTCTTGTTTTTATTATTTTGTCTTTTAAAAATAGTTTTTGCTATGTCTTTTAGTATTTTATTACTCTGAATGGATTTTTTCAAAGACCATGCTAAAAATTTTATTTTTTATTCTTTTATTTTTTATTTTCTCCCTTCTACTGTATTTAGATTTTAAGTCCTTACAGTTTAAAAGAAGACTTACAAAACAATTTTATTGAATAGTTCATTTTTGAAACATTTAAATATTACTTTATTTCTTTATAACATTTTAAAGTTTATATTTTATTTCTTAAGTAGCACTGATCTTTAACATTAAAAAAACTTTTAAAAAGCATAGTATATCTATGTGCATTCTGTTAGAATTCCCTAAATTAAATGTAACCCATTTAGGCACGCGGAATAAAAGATGCTACAGAAATCATCTTTGAGATGTCAAAAGACGAAAGAAAAGATTTCTACAGGACTATAGCATGGGGTCTGAACCGGCCTTTGTTTGCAGTTTATAGAAGAGTGCTTCGCATGTATGATGACAGAAACCATGTGGGAAAGTATGAAAACTTGTAATACTGCATGTTTTCATGTAATTAGGAGAACATAATGTCAAAGGTATCATAGAGAGTAAAGATGTGGGAAATGTAAAAATAACTTTTTAGATTATTATTTCATAATATTTTTCTGGCTTTTTTTTTTTTGTGCGGGGGCGGGGAGTTTTTGAGGACATACATGTGGATGCTCAGGGGTTATTCCACTCAGGAATTACTCCTGGTGGTGCCAGGGATTGAACGTGGATCGGCTACATACAAGCAAATGCCTTGTAGGTTTACTGTAGCTTTGGCCCTGCTTTTTTTTATAGTATATCATTTCCTATGTCAGTGGCTTTTTAGGCCAAAAATGGAAGTAAATTTCCAGAGCCAATGCATGGATTTCTTATTAGACATAACATTTATAAGAAAACATCATACTTCAGCTACCGTAGTATTGACTTTTTTTAATTTTTCTTTAGGAATTTTAGATAACAATAACGTAGCTTAGAAGAGGCTGCTTTTAAAAATGAATATTGCATTGACTGTTTACTAAGTACTTTTTTATTTTAAAAAAATGTTTCTACACATCAGAACTAAAAATGTCACATAGCTATCCATGCAAATAAAGAACAGGAAGAGTTTTTTTATTCAGTGCCATGTGAAGATTTTTTGTAGAATTTTTTTTATAACTGATTTATAGTATCATAAGCCTTTCAAAATAGCTATATTAATATGAATAAAGCAGGAATTACACAGCACAGAAGTAAAAAGGTGTCTGAAATGTTGAATTTTTCTAGGGAAAACTGCACAGTACTCACTTTTAAGTGCTAAAAATGGGTTTTTTTAATCTAAATAAATAGAAGCATTGATTTTAAGATGAAACTACTTTTAAATCAGTTACTTTAAGCTTTTTGGCATTCTTTGTTTTAACTGACTTATTTTTCTCAATTTCTAGATATACACCTGAAGAAATTGAAAGGCTCAAGGAGTAAGTTGTTTTTTTGTTTTGGGGGGTTTTTTGTCCCATTAATTCTGATAGTTGGGGTTTTGTATGGTTTTGTTTTTTAAGTTTCACTTTGAAGATGTCAAGATTTTTTGGTAGACTGGTATAATTTTACCTGCTATTGCGCATGACTCACCATTAAACAAGGTTCATACCTGCACAAAGTACCATGCCCATAAATTTAATCATCTCCAGGCACAAAACAAATGGAGGCTTTAGGAGAGATTAAATGGCAATATTTTGTGGTGAATACTAAATTTGTGGAATTTAAACACCACAAAATACTCATGGTTGTGTTACGTGACTTTAGTTGAATAACTTACAGACATTATCTGTGCTGATGAATCAACTTTATAAAGGCTGTTTAGCAGGAAAAAATTTTGCTTCATTGAGTTAGGACTTTTATAAAGCATGGGTAAATTAGTTAGTTGTATGGGCCACAAAAAATAATAAGTTGTTATTTATGATAAGAACCTATGAAATTTTTTGGATAACTGAGAAGAACTTATTAGGAATACTCAAAAGGGAAAAATCTGGGGTTTGCCTGGGAGATTGTATCAGTAACCTGAGGGGAAATTTGGTCTTTTTGAACACATATCCAAGTTACTTATTTCTTCTCTGACCCAGGAAAAAGGCAATTGTTGCCTGTTTTTTTTTCACCCACAGACAACTGTGGACCCCCCAAAAAGGCCACACTTTCAAACTTTGGCTCTCAAAGTATTGCTGCCCACAACTTCCAAACCAGTCAAATGGGAAGAAGAAGAATGAAGAATAAATGATGAAATTAAAAGGGAGAAAACAGTTGAACCAAATGCTGATTGGCAGACTCTTGTTTTAGGCTCCGGATAAAGCATGGCAATGACTGGGCAACAATAGGGGCGGCGCTAGGAAGAAGTGCATCTTCCGTCAAAGATCGGTGCCGACTGATGAAGGATACTTGCAACACAGGTACTGTGACTGCAACTGATAGCCCTTTTTTTTTAAGTGCAGATTTTATATTCTAGTCTTTTTCTTTATGCTTAATCAGCTCAATAGTTTGTAACTCTCATTTTGTGCTTTTGTTTAAGGTGACATTGTTTACGTAGATAAAACTTGAATTTCAAATAATTTCTTGCTAGCATATTTGTTTTGCAATAACTCAAAAGTATTGCTGTTAGGAAAGTATTGCTAATTGTACATTTCTCCCATTTATTTCTGAAAAACACAAATACATGAAGTAATTTAAAATTAAGCCCATGTAACTATTGAGCTTAGGTTACTAATAGTTCACAAAGTAACAGTGACAAAAAACCTTATATATATATTGCTTATTTCAAACTCATGAGTATATTTTTTCTATTGGGGGAAAAAAATGTGTATTTCACTTGCTAGGTCAAAACACAGATGCCTGTTTAGCTCTTAACATTTACCAATGTACTCATGATAGTGTTAAACCTGTCCTTGTGACCAACACCACCTATTTAAGGTCTGTCATTGTCACTTACAGTGAAGAGTTATGAATAGATGAATATCAGCCTCAATATTTTCTGAAAAATTCACAATGTGTGTTCAATGTTTTAGAAAGAAAAATAGTTGTCAAGTCAAACTATTACATACACATACAGTGAGGATGTAGCTGTCACACAACACACACAGAATCAAAGTATCTGCATAACTATTCTGCCAGAATTATTACCAACAATTCAGTGAGAACATAAATTTAACCATCTTTGCTACTGATCTAGGATAGAATGACTTTGGTTTGTCATGTAAGATGCTAAAAAGAACCTCTTATTTGCGTAATTCTGAAAAAAATGGTGCACCATTCCCTAGCATGAGGGATCTGGCTTTTTCTTTCATGTGGTTATATATTGTTTTTCACAAAGTTCTCTCTAGTGAACCAAATATTTGTAAAGTGAAAAATCTGTGAGATAAGCACATCACCTTTATGAAATTTTCTGGTTTTAGTGGCCGGTAATAAAATGAAAACAGAAGAGAAAGATTTTGTTTTTTAAAGGTTTTATTTTCCTTGTTTTTCTCCTTAACAAAAAAACGGACACTGTCATTAGTGGGTTCAAGGAAAACCTGGAATAAAAATATGCATGAGGGGCCATAGAAATAGTACATACAGTAGGTAGGATTCCTGCCTTGGATATACAGCCAGTTGGGGGTTTAACCCCAGCACCCCATATGGTTTGTCCCAGAGTGATTTCAAAGCACAGAGCCAGGAATAAACCTTGAGGTCAGCAGGGTGACCCAACCGTGTACACACACACACACACACACACACACACACACACACACGGTTTGAATAAATTGGAAATGAGATGGTATAAACTTACTAAAATGTGTGGACGACATAAATACCATATTTGTCCTTCATTTATTCCTATTTTAAAAATGGACTTCTCCAGAGAAAATGTTATGTGGAGTTAGGGGGGAAAAATGAGTTGTGCTGAAGAAATAGTACAAGGATTAATGTGTTTCCCTTGCATGTGACGAACCATGGTTCAATCCCTAGTACTGCATATTGTTCCCAAGCACCACCAGGAGTGGCCCAAAAACAGAAGAGAAAAGTAACAGTTTCAAGTCAATTCTTACCACTAGTAGTCTACATTTTCTTTTGTTCTAAGTACCTTACTGTGCTAATAAAGTGCAGCTGTTTAAGTAGAAAATGCAGCTGTTCTTGCTAACCTTCAGTCAGAAATTTAGTACTGCTGCATATCTCCATTCAGTTCTTAGAAATGTAGATCTGAAGTTCATGTCAAAAAGGAGATAGTAGCTGTAGTAGTCTGGATGATTTCCTTCTTTCAGGAAAGTGGACAGAAGAAGAAGAAAAAAGACTTGCAGAGGTGGTTCATGAATTGACAAGCACTGAACCCGGTGACATAGTCACGCAGGGTGTATCCTGGGCCGCTGTGGCAGAACGAGTGGGTACCCGCTCAGAAAAGCAGTGTCGCTCCAAATGGCTAAACTACCTAAACTGGAAACAGAGTGGAGGTACTGAATGGACCAAGGAAGATGAAATTAATCTTATCCTCAGGTTTGTGTCATCAGTGTTTTGGTGACAAAAGTTCTTCAATTGCAGAGTGTCTTGATTTTCATCTTTGAACTTCGCTTGATGCCTACTAACTGAAAAGCATTCTTTCCATAGTCAGTCACTGTGTAAAATCCAAGTATTTCATATTGAGTATTTTTCCCCCCTCTTTTGTTTGTTCCTTTTCAGTGGAGTTAGTGCTCATGCAGAGTACCAGATTGAAAGCATGGAGACTGAAGTCCACTCTATCCACAGAACAGGTACGGCACAGGCAGCGGCAGTGTAGCCTTTCCACTGTCCCAACCATGTGCCTCAGCCCTAGCTGAAGGGAAGCACTTGATGGTAAAAGGGCTGCTCAGTCTCCATGCCCTTCTATCTTTGGCTACTGTGCTAAAAATGCCAAGAAAGGGGCCTTTTCTATAGTTAACCCATTTTCAGAATAGGCCATTTCATAACCAAAAATGGCTTTAAGTATTTTATATTTGGCCATTTTTACAAATATATTTTCCAGTAAGTATTTACAGACATATTTATCTTACAAATGGAAAAACTCTAACCCATAGAATAACTTAGAACTCACTCTAAAACATGGTAAAATACTATGGTTTAGAATACAGCACATCTTTTCTTATCCTTTTTTTTTTTAACCGTTACCTATTTCTTTTCTTTGCAGAACTTCACCTGGTTCAATTACGGTTCAATCTTTTAGTTGTACCTTTAACAAAAAGAGTTCTTCTAATTTTATAGCACTTAGATTTCAAAGCTCATATGCAACTCTTGGCATCCTTTCCCATTCAATTTAAGAGTTACATGACCAGCTGTTTGGTTTTTATTTTTGTCAGTGCCATTGTGTATATTCAGAGGAGGGTCTTATGGAGAAATTAACATCTAATAGATGCTTATTTTGCAATTTGCAGGATAGCAGAACTTGAAGTAATTGATGAAAATGACATAAACTGGGATCTCTTAGCAGAGGGATGGAGCAGTGTCCGTTCACCCCAGTGGCTTCGGAGTAAATGGTGGACTATCAAAAGGCAAATTGCAAATCATAAGGATGTTTCATTCCCCGGTAATACATTATTTCCTTCATACGTACTGCCCTTATTTTACCAATAAGCTCTCCAAGGGTTATACACATAAAGGAGATAAGCATAGTAGATTTTCATATCAGTGTCTGCCTTTTTCTTTGGCTGTCTTATCTTGAGAAGCACTGATGTTTTCTGTAAGTCTCAAATCACCTAGTATATACAATTTCCCACATTTTTGTTCTATCACATAATTTTGAAGAAAATACAAATCCATATATAGTTTATATTACATATACAGCAGCCCCCTCTCAGCTGCAGGAGATGCTAAGATCCCCCAGAGGATACTGAACACCAAAGATACTACTAAACTTTTCATGTACTATATTATATTTAATCCTGTGATCGATTAAACACTGTAAGGGATCAAGTCTTACAACCTTTTACAATGTGTCTGTCATGACCAACAGTTGAAGAAGCTAGAATTTAGGGTCGGAGCTATAGTAGAGCACCTGCCTTGCATGCAAGTCGACACCTAGGTTTGAAACTCAGGTTTGAAATGACATAAACTGGGATCTCTTAGCAGAGGGCTGGAGCAGTGTCTGTTCACCCCAGTGGCTCCCCAAACCCCACCAGGAGTAATCTGAGTGCAGGACCAGGTGTGACCCCAAAACAAAACAAAATAGCTAGGACTTAGAAAGGTGCTGTGATTTATTTCATAGAACAAAGCTTTTTTTTTTTTTTCTAATTTCAGTTTTGCAAACAGAGAAACTCTAGATTGAGTTTGCTACCAAGTTAGCTGCAACATTCCTGTTAATTGCACACCTCCACTAAGTTGTACTCTGTGTTTAATTTAGGTAATCAAATTCTTTCCTTTTAGTATAGTGTTTCAATTTTCCTTTTGCCCAATGAGAATTGAATGCTGAGAACTTCTGCTTAATGAAAATATAGTTAGAAATTTAGAAAAATTTAAGACTAGAGAAATGAATGAACACTAATGTAACATGAATCTAGACTGATTATATCCCTACTGTAGTTTATCATGAAAGAACGCAAATCCAGAATTTATGTCATAAGAACTTGGAATGCTCGCAAACTACAATTTAGAAAAGATTAGTTGCTATTTCTGAAGTTTTGAGATAGAACCTAAAAAAGATGATGCTTTTACAGTAACTAAAACAGTAAGTGCCTTCGAGGCCAAGGCTGAGGGAGAGTTCATTCACTTACTTGAGGGGTTCTTCAAGTAGTGCTCATGAACTCAGATTTGTTCCATGTAAACACTGCCAACTAAGCCGGGTAGTTTAGTGTTCAGTGCTCACACCCAGTGGGCTGATGTCCATCTTAGCTACCAGAGGCCATTAAGACTATACCCTTTGGGGTTGGAAGGGGCAACAAAGCACTGAGGAGCAGATGCATGCAAGACATGATGAACCAGTTCTACGAACTACTCCCTGGCCCCCATTATTTACATAAAAATGGAAGGGAACTTAATTAGCTTCATTTTATTCTTCCAAAATAACCTTTAAAATGGTGATAAGCTCTAAATGTCCTTTTTCCATTTTATCATATTGATTATTTTAATGTGTGGCATTTATATTGCAAGAATATTGTGGTTTTCATTTTTTGTTTTTGATTCTGTGGTGATATGTAACATTTCCAAAAAATTCCAAATAAGTAGCCGTTTTTAAGCTACTTTTGTTGTTATTTTGGTGAGATCTGGTATCCAGTATACAATGATTTATTCCAAATACTTTCCCTCCTTACCCCCACCTCCCTTGCTGCTTAGATGGTGATCTGTCGGAGAATCAATGTTGTTTTTGTCTACCCATCTCCCTTCAGTCTTAATAAAAGGTCTTAAACAGTTACATGAGAATCAAAAAAACAACCCAGCGCTATTGGAGAATAAATCAGGATCTGGAGTTCCAAACAGTAATTCCAGTTCCAGTGTACAGCACGTTCAGATCCGAGTGGCCCGCTTAGAAGACAATACATCCATTTCTACAAGCCCCATGGCAGCCTTGCAGATTCCAGTCCAGATCACACATGTCTGTAAGTGTTTGAACATCAAGGCTCCTTGTTATGTGGTGTATACACCTTTTATAGTCTTCTGAAATGTTGATAGAAAATGTATCTACATTAATGAATCTTAGGCTCAGTATTTGCACAAAGGATAAATGTGTAACAGAAATGATTCCTAACACCTAGCCATTACAAACCGAATTTTAATGAGCAGCAGAAACATACCTTAAAATATAGTCAGTGAAGCAAGAAAATAAGAGTTCATATGATAGTAGAAGCATCTATAGTTTACCAGAAGAGACAAATTGGGAATGAGTTTTAGGTTATTCATTTTTTTTTTCGGGGGTTGGAGGTTTGCTTTGCTTTTATTTTGGGGCCACACCTCACAATACTCAGGGTTATTCCTGGCTCTGCACTCAGGAATCACTCCTTTCGGTGCTCAGAGGACAATAGGGAATGCCAGAGATTGAATCGGGGTTGGCTACATGCAAGACAAATGCCCTACCTGCTATACTATCACTCTGACCCCTAAGTTATTTTTTGAAAATTATTTTTCTTTAGCAAAAAGAAACTGTTTGCCTATGGGAATTACGTTTATGAGTCTTTCCTTTTCCTCCGACTTCTTTTATTATTTTGAGGAACCCAACAGTTGTTACAGGGAAATGTATTCAGAGCTAAGCCAAGCTGATCTTTCTGTTTATTTTCCGTTGTATAATGACAAAAGAAGAGAACAGAATTCTTAAATTGTTTTTACTCACTTTTGCCCCCACATAATATTGTTTGCCTGTATCACTGCTGTTATTAACCAGTAGGTTATCAGTAGTTTTAGTGGGGCAGTACTTTCTGGGACTGTCCCAAAAGTTGTAGTATGCTCAGCATTTACTCTTGGCTTCATCCACACAATACCAGCAGTGCCTTCCAACTGTAAAAAATACACAGCACCCTACTGATTTTCAGATCCATTCTACAATCCTATTTCAGAACCACAGACCACGTTATAATGCAATTAACACTACATACCTGTATGTGCACTATCGAAGTTGCCATAGAGACATACATACTAGACATTAAATTGCTTTAGCTTTCTACTAGTATAATAAAGCATGAAGAATTTTTTTATTTTATAGGTAAACACATTACAAAGCAACTGAAGTTACAAGGCCCGCAACTATTTCTAGTCCTATAAATTGAAGTGCGTAGACTTTAAGAATTTTCATTGACATCACTTATTAGAAAGACAGCAAAAATATCAGTGCTATACCTCAGTATTCTAAGAATTGTACATAAAACACACCTATATTTGTACTCTAAAATCTCATAATTGTTTTCTCATCACCTAAAAATCAGAAAGTGGCAAACTTTAAGGGCAAGTATAAAAATAAAATTTTGTACTTTCAGGCCTCAAATGTCTGGAATTTTTTTATTTTATTTTATTATTTTTTACTCATTCTTAGCCTTGAGTTGCTGTTGTCTCTGTTCATAGTTTGGTTACCCAATCACTTTGAAACTTTTCACGCTGCGTTTATCTGCAGCTAAAATTGAAAACTTTAATAGATAATATTTCTTGGTCATAATTCTCTGTACATTTGCGTAGAGACAGCAAGTTTTAGCCTCACAGTTTATACATATTCAATGGTGCTATTTAAAGTTGTTCAGATCTGGCATTCTGAATGAGTTTAGTTTTTGCATCCTCAGAACAGGTAGATGCCAAAACAGATTAAATTTGTTTTGGGGCTACACATGGCTGTACTTAGGACTTACTCCTGGCTGTCTGCTCTGGGATCATTTCTGACAGGGCTCAAGGGACATACGGGATGCTGGTGATCAAATCCAGGTCAGCCAGGTATAAGGCAATCTTCCTACCTGATATACTATGGCTCTGACCCCAGATGAAATCTCTTAATGTTAGTTTGAGCTAAAATAAGACATGTTTGTCCAGGGTACACTGCTAGAAAGTGATGTCACTACAACTAAAATCTTGTGTTTGAATATTTATTTTGTTTATTAGAATATGCGGGCTGGAGCAGTAGCACAGCAGTAGGGTATTTCCTTCCTCGCAGCCAGCCCAGCCGAGCCGGGTTTTATTTCTCCGCTCCTCTCGGAGAGCCCGGCAAGCTACGGAGAGTATCTTGCCTGCATGGCAACGCCTAGGAAGCTACCCGTGACATATTCGATATGCCAAACACAGTAATAAGTGTCACTATAGAGATGTTACTGGGCCCGCTCGAGCAAATCATTGAACAACAGGAGGACAGTGACAGTGACTAGAATATGCAGAAAATTCTATATCTTTATTAAATTCCTATCTTTGTAAATTAGCCTTAGAATATTCTTATTTCGTAACATTAGAGTTGTAATCAGTATCAGGTCTTAGCAGATACTGTCTTTGTCACACTTTCAACTCATCTAGGATGCAGAAGTAGAAAGTTAATATAGAAAGTATATTAACATACTGAAAGGAAGGTAAGCGAAATGCATGATATCGGATCAGCAACAGCATTGTAAATCACCATTCCTAATAATAAGAAAAACCTGCCTGTGGGGAGAGGGGGAGATGGAACACAGGACCAACTGGATACTGGGTAAAGGGATTGGTGTTGAAACAATGTTTGTTGTTTGTTCACCTAAAGCTCAATCATGAGTAACTTTGCAATTCATGGAGATTCGATTTTAAAAATTTAATTAAAAAGATAAAAAAACAAACTGGCATCTTCCAATAATACTTAACTTTGAGAAATTAGTAGCTACTTAACTATGAACCATAGTTACCAACCCATGATCTAAACTATTCCAGACATATCTCGTACATTTCTTATCTCTCATAAGCATCCTGGCAAATTATTCAGTGAGATTATCTTCATAATAATCAGGTATTCTGCGGGATTTCCATCTAAATACAATTATCTTTGTTCTTACCTTAGCTTCAACAGACTCCTCCCCTGCTGCTGCTGTTGACTCAGAAACAATAACACTAAACAGTGGAACACTACAGACGTTTGAGATTCTTCCAGTGAGTAGCACTTCACAAAGCAAATGTTGGCCATTTTTATTTATAAGATCAGTATCAGATTTAGAAATGTTATCAGCAGATGAAAAAAAGATGTCTGGCATTTCATGCACTTGTGACCATGGTTTTAGGGCCAAAAGTCAGAAGATAACAATAAACTGAATTCCACATTATAATAATTTTGTCTTTTTCTTCTTTTCTACATAAACATAGAGTATGCTCATTTTATTTATAAAAATTTCTGTGCTAATTTAAGTAGGGTATAGTCAATGGATTTGTATTGCATTGTCTATCAGCAAAAAGGTATATTGAGATACTAAATATTGTGCAGCCATTGGGAATATAAAATTGAAGTATTTAAACTTACTAATATTAAGTATCATAGTAAACAGTTATCACATGTCCTTGTATTTCTAATCTCAGCTATACCTATGAAAACATGTATTTCCACATTAAGAAATACATGTTTTTTACTTTGGCTTTGGGGCCACATCTGGAAGTGCTCAGGTTTACTCCTGGCTCTGCACTCAGGAATCACTCCTGGCAGTCACTGGGGACTACATAGGATTACAGGAATTGAACCCAGGTTGATCACGTGCAAGGCAAGTGCCCTACCTGCTGTACTATCTCTACAGCCCCATATTAAAAATTTGTACATGAGCTATTTTTCTATTTCAACCTGGGAGATTCAAACACACCCCCAAATTTCTATTAAAACTTTTACTCACTAAAAAATATAGTAAAAATTTAAAAATTTGCACATGAATGTTCATAATGGAAATAAGCCACACCTCTATTCACTGACAATTAGTAAATAAAATGTGCTACATCCATAAAAATGACTTATTTGGAAGGGCATACTCCACAGTACCCAAGGATCACTGTGGTGCCAGTGATCAAACAGGTCAGCCACATGCAAGACAAGCACATTACTAACTGTACTATCTCTTGAGCCCTGAAAATGCCTATTTAACAGTGAAAAGAAAAACCTTGATCATGTTAGGTACTAGCCACAAAATGCCTTACTCATATATGGCTTTAATTTATTTGAAATGTAAAAATGAGTAAATCAAAAGGAGAATGAAAGTAGATTTGTAGTTTCCTAGGCAAAAGAGATTTGGAGAGATACAGGCCATAACAGTAATACTTATAAGGGGTTTCTTTGAGGGATGGTGGGACCATTTTTAAAATTTCTTATTCTCATCCTTCTTCCTACAATACAGCAATCTAATCTAAGCTCATTTTTCATTAATATATTTTATTAAATTATGACAAGTTCATGTACTATGAAAAGAACATAAGTAGTAGTATTAGACTAAGAATGTACTGCCTTCAGAGTCAGATGTCACAAGGATGACAATCAGCAAAGGTTTTGTTTTATAGGTTGAAAACAAATTTCTACCTTTATTTTACTTATATTCACATACTTTAAGGGTCCCACCACTGGCCAGATAAACTATTATATACTTATTTTTATTTGGGTACATGGCAGGTGTTTAATTACAGGGTCACAATCGTTTAGAAACTTCTGTCCTAACTTATTTTTCCTGTGGAGGGTGCTCCTGAGGATCTAATAGAAAAAGGAAAAACTGCCCAGCGTTTCTGCCTGACTCTGGGCTAGACAGCTCAGCTTTGGGCGAGGAATCAAATTTAAGGCCTACAACATGCCTGGCATATGATGGCTCTTTAAGCTATTTCCAACCCCTCTCCTTATTCAATAAAGGATAACAATAGTGCATCAGCCTTAAAATTTGTGAGCTTTAAACAAATTTCTGTATATCTGTTTATAACATTCATGTTCTTTCCTTGCATGTGACTTGACCAGAGTTCTATCTCTAGCATCCCATAGGGATCCCTGAGAGCAGAGCCAGGACTAACACCTGAATATCAACGGGGGTGGCCCTAAGACAATTTTTTAAAAATTAATTGTATCTATAAAACATTTACTATGTTATATATGTGATTGACAGAAGAATAAGCTCTAGGAAAACGGTGAGCTTTCATTCCATAAATAAGGAGGAAAGAAATCAAGTCCACATTGTGTGATCTGCACCATCGTAATCATTTCTAATCCTCAGTCCTTTCCATGACAGGCAGTTACTGCTTCTTAAGCAGAAAGGAAACCTATATAAATCCACGAGACAACATCAAAGAATAGCTGTATACTCTAACTACCACCACTATTTTAGGTACACTTTTTTGTTGTTATTAGGGTGTTAGGATAAACTGAATTCAAATTCTCTTGAAGCGTGGAGCTTAAAGACATGTTAGGATTGAAGTTTTTATTATACTTATTTAAAAGTAAAATCTCAACAAAAGTTAACTAGATTTTTAAAGTTTTCTATACATTTCCTTTAATAAAAAACTTTGGGGGAGAGGGGATACACACCCAGTGATGCTCAGACTCAGGGCTTACTCCTGGCAGGCTAAGAGGACCATATGTGGTACCGAGGATTGAATCTTTATGAAACTATTAAAATCTGCCCAAACTGCTGCCTTATTAAAAAAATAAAAAATAAAAAAAGGCTTTTTTAACTTAAAAAAGATTATTCTTGAGTTGGTTAACTGCAATGGACACAGTCATTTATGAAATAATCTTGGTCCCCTGAAATTAATAGTTTAGGCTATACCAGTGTTTCTCACTGAGAGTCGTATTGCCCCCACGTGTGCTGCAGGATATTCCAAGAGGGTCACAGGTGAAAAATCTTGTACAGGGACTGAGAATCATTAGTCAAGAAAAAGTTGAGATACATGGATTAGACCATAAACATACAGAAGTATGAAGAAAAGGATAAAATATTTGCCCTTCAGTTTCCAGTCTGAGAATGACAGTCAAGAATATGATGTCCTTCATTTTATAACTTGTTTGCACCTTCACAATAGGAATTTGTGGCTAATTAAATTAGTTCTTATTTTGGATACAAAGACTTAGCAAATAAGTACTACTAACAGGTACACTGACTCATGCCTGTACTGATCTGATTTTTCTTTTTTTAGTCTTTCCATTTACAGCCTACTGGCACTCCCGGTACCTATGTACTTCAAACAAGCTCAAGCCAAGGCCTTCCCCTAACTCTGACTGCTAGTCCTACAGTAACCCTGACCGCTGCTGCTCCTGCATCTCCTGAGCAGATCATCGTTCATGCTTTATCTGTATGTTCCCTGACAACAATTTCTTCACTTTTTTCCCCTCTAGATTGGCTGATAAGTGTCACCAAAGATAACAAGGTTTCCAAAATTTTAACACTATGATAGAACTCATGTGCCTTCCATAGCTATCTCTTGGGGGTGGTAGAAAAATAGATTTTGACTCATTTCAAATATGAGAACCTATTAGGTACTAGGAATAATTGATACCAAATATAGCAGCCAGAATCAATACTAGACAATTCCTAATGCTATTGTTCCAAGATGAATGTTTCACACCATCAGTCTGCTATCACTGGGGAAATAGCCTTTAAGATCTGTGTCTCCTTATATGAGAGAGGCAAAGGAAGGCCACCTTTCTAAGAAAAATGGTAAAAAAAAAAAAAAAAAAAAACCTGCAATTGCAGAGATGAGAAGTATGGGAGGAGAGAAGAATGGAGTACCACCTATAAATGTCATTTGTATTGACTATAATTGCTATCTGGAGGTAATTTATCCTTTTGCCACTGATTTGTTGTTTCTGACATTCTACAGCCTGAACATTTACTGAACACGAGTGAAAATGTCACAGTGCAGTGTCACACACCAAGAGTCATCATTCAGACCGTTGCCACAGAGGACATCACTTCTTCCATATCCCAAGCAGAACTGACAGTAGATAGTGATATTCACTCATCTGATTTCCCTGAGCCTCCAGATGCCCTAGAAGCAGACACTTTCCCAGATGAAATTCATCAGCCTAAGATGACTGTAGAGCCATCATTTAATGATGCTCATATGTCCAAATTCAGTGACCAAAATAGCACAGAACTGATAAATAGAGTAATGGTCAGAACAGAAGAAATCTCTGTTACTGACCTTAAACAAGAAGAATCACCCTCCCATTTAGCCCATGCTTACGTTACTGAGGTAAGTTGCATTTAAGGGAGCAAACAGCCAATGGGTTCTTGCCTTTTACTCTCAAACTTGTAAATAATGGAGGAGAAATATACTCTGCTTTTTTTTAAGGGGGCAGGGAGTTAATCTGAGTTTAGATCTGGTGCTTTAATGATACCCAGCATGTGCTTTATTGCAAGCCAGATTTATAGCCCAACTTGTTTTTGTAAACGCCAAGGGACAAATCCTTACCATTCACAAGAATTGGTCAGTTAGCAGTGTTAATCTGTCTTACTGTGATTCTTCACTAAAGCCTCTTTCACATCTCCAGTAGATTGAAAAGATGCTGTACTTGATGGAGGGTTATTACTGACAGTATCAAGAAATCATGAAATGCTAGTAATAGAGCACTCTGGCTTAGGGACATCACCTTACAATTAACATCTGTCCTCTATACAGGTGACATAACTGAACTTGTTCTTTCAAGTTCTGTCTTATTTTGTAGTGTGGAGGATCTAACCCAGATCTCAAACATGCAAAGCATGCACTTTGCCACAAAGTCATATCCTGGCTTTTCTCAGTTCCTTTTTGTTAACATTTCATTCAGTTGTTTATGAGGCTCTTTCTTTCATTTACAGCTTTTTTTTTTTTTTTTTTTTTTTTTTGCTTTTTGGGTCACACTCCTGGCTCTGCACTCAGGAATTAGTCCTGGCAGTGCTCAGGGGACCATATGGGATGCTGGGAATCGAACCCAGGTTGGCCACGTGCAAGGCAAACGCCCTCCCTGCTGTGCTCCCTGCTCCAGCCCCTCACTTACAGCTTTAACTTTTATTTGTCTATATATGTTTGAATGTTAAGTCCTTTTAAATTAAATGTTATAAGCAACATGAGTCGTGCTCATTTTAAAATTATCATTGCTACTATTATTTAGGACTTAGTATCTCCTACCATACAAGAGCAAGTTGATCAGACAATTGATGATGAAACCATTCTTATTGTTCCTTCACCTCATGGATTTATCCAGGCCTCAGATGTTATAGATGCTGAATCTGTCTTGCCTTTGACAACACTAACAGGTAATGTAATACAACTTAATGTGTCTGAAGGCAGTCATATTAAATTCAGTTTATTTTTATCTTTATTATTACTACAATACAGGTAGATTATTCTTGTTAAATTTTCACTTCTGTAGTTTATTTAAAATCTGTAGACAAATTCGAGGCTATATATACTGTTAAGACTAACTTAAAACTTAACTAATTACAGATCCTATACTCCAGCATCATCGAGAAGAATCAAATATCATGGGATCATCTTTGTGCAGCCCTGTTTCAGAAGACTCAAAGGATGCTGAGGATTTGGTACACTGTCATTAAATTAAGTCTTAGAAACAAACAGTTCAGACAGAGAAAAACTGTTATTTTACATCTCCAAAGAAATAAGAGCAACCTCCAAGAGACTTAATTTACCATTTCCCTGGTTTTTAAATAGCTACACTGCATAAGCCCCCCCCCCCATACATTGTTGCTGCTATGACATAAACCATTTATGTATATCAAGTGAGGTCTAGTCTAATGACAGTGTATAGCTGAGTGAAATATAAGGGTCTTAACTGCATAGATTCCTGTGGTTGGTGTTACTCATCAGCAGGGAATTTCACTCGCTTCAGCAACTGAGGAAAGTTAAAAATCACTAAATCTTGATTAATTTGCTCTAAAAGCAGAAATACTTATCTCTGGAGATCAGACATGCCTCTATCCAGTTCAGAAGTCACATCAACAAGGTCGTGGTCTAGAACTTAACCAGTGACCTGTCCAAAGGATATCATAGTTTGAGAGTTGACCAGTACACAGTACAAAGACAAGAGTGATTGTGTGAGTTACTTTTCATTTACCCATTGCAGGCAGTGGGAGTATATTTAGGCTGCGTAAAAAGGAAAGCATTAAAAGTTAATCACTACAGGTGGTTTTATTTTTTTTAATACTTTTAAAGGGAATATGAATTAGAGTGGTAACAGAACTCACCAGAGTTTTCACCTCCTTAGAATATTGTCACCAGTTTACAAAGTTAGCACTTTGAAGTAAAATAAACTATATGGTAAAGGAGGGTTTGGTGCCTATCGATGCCATTGCCATTTCTTACATGTTTTGCTATCTAAAATACCCAGAAAATAGGTTTAAGAGGGCATCAGAATTTGCTGTTCACGTAGTGCATTAGCAGGTTGGAATTCAATATAACTTCTCTCTCTTGGGCAATTAAAAAGCAAAAAAATTTACTTCTAAAATTGGAAAAGAAAAAAGGAAGAAAGAAAAAAGTCATTCTTATACTAGAAAAGGTTAAGCCAAAACCAGCCTATAGGGCTTTAATGATTATGACCCCTATAGAAAACTCACAAAGAAAAAAAAAACCTTGTATAAATTATTTTATTTATTATTGTAATTAGATTTCACAATCAAAGTTGTCTTTTCACCGTCTGTGTTTTGTTAATGTGAAATTAAATTGTAGTTATAAACAAAAGTTGGTTGCCTAGGGAACAATAATTGTATATTCAGTTTAACAGAAATAAAAGATTATTTGTCTTAAAATACAAGATTGTTACATAGCCTTTCGCCATGCAATTACATTATAAAAAGTTTTCATTTCAAAAGTGGAAAGTACTTGTGCTTTTGGGATGTTTATAAATGCAACATCGGCTCCTTAACGAAAAAGCAAAGTTATTTATGAAGTTTCTCCCCTGAAAGACGGAATTAGATTTACAATAAACAAGAGGATCATGGATCAGACTCCTACAGGAGAGTTCAGCATACCTCATCAAGCTCTTAAGTCTTTAAAACACAACTTTGAAGAGACATGGTCAGTATTTCTCCTTGGTAGCTTCACTTTCCCACATCATGGAAATACAGGTTCGCACATATACATAACATGATGATAGAAAATAAGATATAGTAAATTAGATTTCTAAATTTCGGTTCTAAGTCTCCTTGTCGATACCAGTAGATCTACAAGAAAAATTAAATAGAAGTTTAAGTAACCACTAGGCTACGTATTAAAAACCTCATTCTTTTTCTGCAATGACTAATTCATCAACATAATTATCCCCACAAATAAGAAATAGTTAATCATTAAGCTTTAGGTTAATATAGCCAGAATTCAAGCTTTATTCTTTATTCTTTGAAATCCAAGCAGTACCAAATTTCCACGAGATTATATTTATTCCTACTTTCTCAGAACTCACTTTTTTTTTTATCTATTTGAATAAAAGTTACTTCCTCAGGTACGAGAAGGGAGGACGACATTTAAATTCATATATACTGATTGAGCAGTCCTTGCGTAAGTCCTGGGTTTATTTCTGGCCATCACACATGAAAAAAATCATGTAATGACTCAAAGTCATTACCAATGCAAACTAGGGTTTGTAAGACATATATACTTCATTATGTGTAGACTTCACTATTAAGTCATTTCTGGTTTTAGGCAGAGGGCACTGAAGAAGGTGTGGACCATGGAGAACATTTCCAGTAGCTTTGTTTCAAAGCCTCCCAAAATGGTGGGGCTGAGAGATAATATAGTAGGGGAATAATATAGCTTGCCTTGCATGGGGCTGACCCAGGTACGATCCCTGATATTTATCCTCTGAGCACCTCCAGTACTGATTCCTCATTGTAGAGCTAGGATTAAGGCCAGAGCATTATCAGGTGTGGTTCAAAAAACTACCTGCCAAAGCCTCCCAAAATGGGAAGAGCTAATTTTTCAGGTCAGTGTCCAGAACCACCTGTAGGAATTAGGTGCCATTTTAATTGTAATTCAGAAAAGCTGTAAAGGTTTACTGTTTTGATTCTGCCTTTCCTAAAAAGAAATGAAAAAACTCATCTAATGAAATAAATACTTGGCAGAAATCCACTGAAGAGCCATCATCAGCATGGAACCAGCTACAATGACCCAACTTCAAAATGTGCTTATTAAGGAGGTGAGATGGACAGGGAAAGGGAGCAGGGTGTTTAGTGACATCAGCAGAGGGAAGCTGACACTGGTGGTGGTACTGGTGTTGGAACATTGTTTGCCCAACTCTCATAAACAACTTTGCAAATCAGGGTGCTTTTAAAAACTACAACAGCCAGGTGGAGGGCATGTTTTGCATGCTGAGGCCTGGACTATGGTCACTGCCCTCCACCCCCCCCCCCCCCCAACTCCAAGCAGCCCCTGAGCACTGCTAGGTAGGTAGGTATTGGCCCAGAAGCAAAACAAAAATAACAACTAAAGTCTTAGGAGATTTAAGTAAAGAGCTTTAAATAGATGAATTTCATTATAAATCCAAAGTCCTAAGGACTTCGCAGGCAAAACATCTAAATTCTTGCTTGTGAGTCCCTTGGAAGAAAGAAGACTAAGTAATGTATATCAAACCTTTAGGATTAAATTTAGAATTTTGGAGAGATTGAAAAAAAGACCAGTAAAATAAAGGCCTACAGTTCAAAATCTGACAATCTTGGGGGAAGTAGTTGGTGCAATTATACCCTATGTATAAACCCAGGGTTAAGACTATGCCTTAAAGAGTATGAGCCTCAGCCCTCAAAAATAAAACATTTAAATTCTAAATAGTACTCACAAGTATGCAGGCAGTAATACTGCTCAAAGAGATGCAGACAGCAAAAAATATATTCAATGGTTTTGGAGGTAGTTGAGGGAAAACAAAAGCACTGATCAGCGTTACCTGTATGAAGAGAAATCATGTAATTCCAAGACCTGATTAGTCTGGAATCTAGGCGAGTAATGCTATAAAAATGTTTCACATTATCAAATATTTCTACCATGAAGTTATTAGCCTTTTGGAATGTTTCATCCAATTTAAAGAGACAAAACACTAAAACATAAAAAAATAAAATTCCAAAATTTAAGAGGCAAAATATTGAGCAGTGAAACCTCAAAATTACCTGTTAGCAGGTTAAAAAGCAATGGAGGGGCTAGAGAGATAGTATAGGGGTTAAGGCTCTTGCCTTGCATACAGCCAACCCCACCAGGCTCCATCCTTTCACCACATGTAGTCGCCAAGAAGCACCACCAGATGTGACCCCATAATACTGAGCCAGGATTAAGCCCTGAGCATCACCAGGTATAGCCCACCCATCCACTACCCATCCCTGCACCAAAAAACAAACAAAAAATGTGACTATACTGGTAAAAGATTTAGGCTCTATGAGGAAGTCATAGACTCAAACTTTACTAAAATTATCTTAAGTATAATGAAAATGTGCCACAGAAGTATCATTCTCAGACACCACTGTCTATTGTGAAATAGCAAGCTTTATTATACAGGATGAAAATTTACTCTGTTGATCACATAACCTCTTAATCAAATAATCTGCAACTGAAACAAAATTACAGTATTAACAGAAATAGTTACAGTAGGTTATGACAAGGGAGTTGCTAGCAGTCACTGATGGTTTAGAAATTTAGAAAACAAACATGGCAAACTAAAATCCGAGTTACATGATTTATAGAGCTGGAGCGATAGCACAGCGGGTAGGGCGTTCGCCTTACAAGCAGCCAACATGGCCGACCCGAGTTCGATTCCTCCGCCCCTCTCAGAGAGCCCGGCAAGCTACCGAGAGTATTCAATATGCCAGACACAGTAACAACAAAGTCTCCAATGGAGACGTTACTGGGCCCGCTCGAGCAAATCGACGATCAACGGGAGGGCCTTTACCTTTACCTTTACCTTACATGATTTATGTTCTTCATATATTTAATTTGGGTTGAAGTGTAAGGGTAGAAATCAATGTAGCTTACTCCAGTTACCAATTGGTTTTATGTGAAAGTTGAAAAATATTTAAGACTAGAATACTTCATATATACTGGCCTTTGTAAGTTGTGTTTTTTTTTTTAAATATACCACAGTACTAGAGTCTGAAAAACTTTGGCTATCCGCATAGATGAGACACATAATAAAGATACTTACAAGAATCAATAAGGATGTGAAGCCGCCAACAACTAAATTGATGATTCGATCCTGAAAGAAAAGAGAGTTTCTGAGCCATATGGCACTTTCAGAAAAGTACAGGGCTCTAAGCAACGGCTTGACTTAGAATGAAGAAATGAAGATTCTACCCCGTTTGAGCTTTATACATAAATAAAACCAACAGACAAAGCAAAATATACGGAACTGTCAGAGTGGAAGGTACTTTTGGGAAGACAGAGACAACTATCTGGAGGTTTCTTGAAGGGAGAGGGCATTGATTTTAACTACAGTTTATGATTAGGGAGCCCCTAAAAAGAGGGTCTCACATGTACTCCTAAGAACAGTGTGAGCAAAAGTGAAGGGACAAAGGCACCGTGAAAAGCAACCCAAAGTTTTGGGAAGAATCGGGAACTAGATAGTAGATGATGTCAGTACTATCTTGAGTTTGAAACTACTGTGACAGAGTTTAGGTAATCTTGTCTACTGTAATCTAAATGTAGACAGGAATCTCAGTCCAATGATTATCCATCTTAAAAGTAGAATCATATAAGGAACCTAGAATCCTACCCATTAAACTATCTTGTCATTTCCATCCCCTCCATCTCAACTAACTTGGAGAATGATTTGAAATGATATGTGTGTGAATAAAACATACAGATTGAGAGCATTTACAAAATAACTAAACAATGTTTTTAAAATCTATTTTGGAAGCATTAGGGTAATAAGAGTATGTGCTGCTGCGAAGTAAAAGATGAGTCTTCAAATAGTTTAACTTTAAAGATTGTTCTGGTTATGGCTGAATAGAGAATAGCAGAATATTCGTCAAGAAACAAGCTCAAAGATGTTTGACATGAATATGGACAAGTACAGAACAACTGAACATTATTTTCAAATTGTAAGCTTTCAAATCTAAAGGCGTGCATTGATTAAATTAATAAACTAAAATACATCAAACCTAAGGGGTTAACTCCAAAGAGTTAAATAGGCAAAGGTAGTAGGATGAAAAGTGAAGGAGAGCCAAGTATTATGTCCTATGTGCCTTATCAAATTAAGAACAAACCCTAAAACTGTCCAGATCTAGGCCACTGCAATTTAAAGCCACACTAGACAAAGTAACTCCAGTCACACTGGTACTGAACTAGGAGTACCCGAAACACTTAGATAGGAGAAAGCCTACAAAGGAGTCTGAAATTAAGACAGTTTGTTATGGGCAAATCACTGATCAGCTTAACTTGTTCCCAGTCAAAACAAAATGTGTTTAAAAGTGGCTATTAACTGTAACAGGTTTCTATGGGAACCCCCTTCTTTCTGGTTGTGGAAAAGATTCAACCAAACTCCTCTAAAGTGTATTCTGCTCTCATCTTTGCAGTCCAGGAATTTGTAAGAGTGTATGCATGTCATGCCAGTTGTCAACCAATAGGAAAGAGTTTCAGATGAGAGGCAGTGATAAAGAACCACTACCTTCCAAACAATACACAAAATTGCCATATGGGATGGAAACAGAGAAAAAGAATAGTTAAGTGACCAATGATGCAGTTTTCTTCTAAAATTCCCTGGCTGAAGAGGAATTAAGATTATTTTACAGAAGGCAAAACAGACTCCGGGAAATTGAAACACTGACCCAACTTACCAATACGAAAAACTAATGATAAAGACAGGGTTCAATGACAACAGTACAGATTCCATTTATACTCAGTAAAAAAACAACTTACAGTACCAATCCAATCTAGACAAAATCATCAAGTGGCAGATAACTCAAACAAACAAAAAGTACTAAAATACATCTTTCAAGAATAAAGATTTCCTCAAATAGTTTTTCCAAATTCTTAAATTTATCCATATAAGCAGTTTTTATCAGGCTAATGAAAATCTAAACTTTAACTTATTTCCCTGCCTGCCCTCTAGATTGAACAGAATTCTACATCATTGTCATGTTTATCAGTTTCTGTTATTAAAGAGTTTAGAATATGGCAGACTATTTCTTACAGAGTTCTCCCTACAAGTCAAGACAAGGCCTTGGCTTCAAGCCTCTATCAAAGTACCATATATCCAGGCCAAATAAAGAGCTAAGTAGCCTTGGAAGACCCACTTACATTCTGTTTTTAAAACTATTTCTGCAATCTGTTGCCCGAGCAGACATGAAATGTAAGAAACACCAATCTAAAGGCTTTGCAAAGACCTACTACTGAACTAGGATATATAATGTCCACAGACGTGAACATACTTAAATCTGAAAAGCAAGCAATGCGCAAATGTTTAGACTCAACTATTCCATTTTGAACATTGATTCCAATCATACAGTGTAGATCCTTCCCAGAACTCAAAGACTGTTTTTAAGGACCTTAGCAACTACCTGAGTTTCTAGTCTCCAAAGAGAAAAGGAAAATAAAAAGTAATAGCTGTTTAGTATTTCAAAACCCTTTGAAATCCTTGAACATGCTCTAAATCAGAACCAGCGGGAAAGAGAAAATAAAAAGGATGCTGCATTTAAGGTAATTTCCACATGTACAGCTAATCCAGTAACTCAGTAATTAATTTCTCATAGAAATTAGCAGTCACTTCCCTAGATTTATTTCCCTATTTATAGCTACTGAAATTGTTTTTCTCTCTTAGAGCTTTAAACCTGTACCGTTACTTATTTTTACTCCCCTAGGAAGCAGAACAGGATCAGAATCAGCCTTGATCCTTACCTGCAGAGAAGATAGGACAGGAAATTAGGCTATGCTTCCCCAAAACATATATCAGCAACAAGAGAACAGTCTTAACCCATTAATAAAGGGCATGTGTGTATGTGTGTGCACACGCGCATGTGTACAAAAACACAAAAATATACACATAATACAAGATACTGTTTAGAGAAGGAATCTGCATGAATTATCTTGTAAATCATTTACTCATTTTAGCATTATCTCAGACTTACATCTCAAGAATCTGTTTGTCCTTTTCCTCTACTCCAGCAGGTTTTGAACTTTAACCCACAGACCAACTGAAAACCACTCCTTTAATAACAGACTATGGGACCTGTCTTCTTTGCTTCTATCAGATTTCAGGCCTCACTGTTTAGCTGAAAGCTAGCCTGACACTGCATTCACAAGTTGTGCAACCCTAGTACAGATCTACATCCTCCAATGATAAGAAGCAGAAACAAACTTTTCTAATTCAGACAAAGCAAAGTCATGTGTCTGTGGAGAGAACCTTTTGGCTATACAAGGATGACACCATAGAAGTGGATGATGGCACTGGTCATATCCCTTTGCAGCCACAATGCAGACACGTATTAGATGTGAGCAACTAATCTCAATTAACAAAATTCAGTGTTCCTAGTGAGCTTCCTTAATAAAAGGCCTGTATTTTCATGGCCTTTTCAGGTTGATTATCTCATTCTCCAGAAAGTGATCTGAAGCCTGACCTCAAAGCGGTTCCTAGACTCTAATCTTAAAGCCCATTATATATCGCTACACATCCTTACAAAAATAAAACTATGCAGAGAAACAACTCCCCCTAGTTCATTTAACAACTCCCCCTAGTTCATTCCTTTTGGTATAAAAAAATCTGGAGCGTAACCTGCTTCTCCCTACCAACTCTGAACCCATTCCCTGAATTAGTGATTAAATCAACCTGTATTCAATCTGTATATTCTCTCTCCCTCATATAGTCCATCTCTAGCCCCCAAATCCCAACTTTCAACAGTACAAGAATAGCCTTTATCCATCCTGCTATCCAGATGACATTAAACATTCATTTCCCCCTCTTTTTTACACTAATTGTCAGAGGATAAAATGAGGCAGACGAAGAGAATGATCTGGGGGAGAATAAGAGAGGGCAGTTTAAGAAATCCTCTTTGAAGATGTGACCCCCAAAGCAGGAACCTTTATAAGAAAAAGGAACAAAGCATCCAAGGATATGTAAGGTTAGTGCAAACAAGTGCAATATTTTTGGTGCAGAAGTGACTGATCTTAGAAAAAAAAGAAAATAAAATGAAATTTGAGCAGAAAAAAAAATAAATAAATAAACAGAACAAGGAGAATAAGGCCGGAGCAACAGTACGATGGGTAAGGCACTTACTTGGCATGCAGCATACCTGTGTTCTATTCAAACTCTGGCACTCCACACAGTGCCCCAAACCTACCAAGACCTATCCCTAAATATAGCCAGGAGTAGGCCCTGAGCAACACCAGGTGTAGCAAAAAAAAGGAGGGGGGGGGGGCAGAAATGAAGTGAAGGCTAGGACAAATGAAGCTTGAAAGGGAAGGAAGAGAAATGAACAAGGACTTAAGATCTCTCCATCTTTCCTGTGATGATATATACTCCCTGAAAAATGAAAAACTATCCAGCACTTAGCATTTTTTCTGAATTATAGAATGGACTAACAAAGATGACATACATACACATTCAATCATCTAATCTCCTGAGGAAAATATCTCCTTAGAGCAAGTATCTTCAGATCCAACCCGTCCATTCCTCCATCATTCCAAGTTTTAGAGTTCAGGCACAATGAAACACTCAAATACCCTCGTCACTAAACTTTCTTTCCCCACCCCTCTTATACAAAATAGATCGCCCTTTGCTTGTGATTCCTGGTTCCCACCCCTATCCCCATCACATGGTCCCAAGTGATCCCCACACACCAAGCAAGGTGAAGCCATGTGTAGTACAAAATAAAATCTTACCCTTGTTTTTAGGCCTAAGACTCAACAGTCTTCTAATTCCCAGGGACTATAAAGGTCCTTGGCACGTTGCTAACCTTTGAAAGGGTTTGATCCTCTTTTATATTGAATACTGACCCTCTACACAACCAAGTATTCAGGTCAGTGCGGACAGTGTAAGGGAACATGAAGAAAGGCAATCTGCTCAGACAGATGAAATGTCCAAAGACACCACCACTCCTACCATTGTTAACTTGTATAGAGTGATTCAGAACTTCGAGCTACATCCTCTAATTCTGGATCCAAAGTTGTGTTTCTCAAACACAAAGGTTCTGATACCATAAATAAAAGGCCGGTTCTTTCCTTTTTTCTTTTTCTTCTTCTTCTTTTAAATAAATCACCATG